GCCGTTTGTGTTTGCTGCGGCCGGTGACAGGGTGTGACGGCTGCGCTGCTGATCTAACGTGTCATCAGCGGACGCTGCAGCTGGTGGCTGGCGCAGTATTATCGGACCGGGCTGGGCTGGGCTGGGCGTGGGGAGGGTGGAGCGGAGCGATCACGGGTACGGTGTGGGTTAGCGTAGTCGGATCTTCTGGCTTTGTGTGCATTGAGATTGAGCTAGTCGGGTAGTTGGTCGGTCATATCACTTATAGGTGACTTGGATCGGTCTCAGTTCTGATCAGTAATCAGTCAGATTGGTACCTTCTTGGCATGTCTGGTACGGCAGTGAAATTCATGCACTAGCACCGTTTTCAGAGCCCTGGAAGTCAGCCCCAGTGCCCGTTCCAGACGACTGCCTGCTCCAGTCGTGACGAATCATCGGCCAGGCCAGACCGGTCGATAGTCGGGTGCCCATCGTCTTCGACTCACGACCGCCGTTCGTCGTTTGCTGCCGTCGTTTGCCGCCGCCGTCGGCCGCCCGACAGTCTGGTGCCGACGTGGTGACTCACCCGGCCATGTGGCGGCTCGGGCCGTGCGAAATGTTCCGTCCCGCCCCTGCACTCTGCAGTGGTGGCTGGTTCTGTTTGCCCTGTGGTGGGACCGCTGCCGTACTGCTGCCGCTGCTGCTGTGCCGTCTTTCCCCACTGTGTGATTCAGCCGCCGCCATGTGTGGGATCCCGCTCCGCTCGTTGGCCCGTGTTTGGATAGAACTCACCGCGTCCCACCACCTCCCACTATCTACTTCACCTCCATCTGTGGCCTCACCACTGACCTGATACCGCCCGACCCCGGGCACTGAGTGAACCCTTCACCGCCGACTCACCGGCGCCGCCGCACCCACTTCAGTCGAGGGCCGGCGCCGCCGCCGATGGCCTTATTGAGAGTATGACGGACCGGCCCACTCCCCACGGGCCGCCGCTCACCGCCGATTTGGTGGGCCGCTTCGTTTACGGTCGATTTTGGAGGCCGGGGCTCGATGCTGCGCCATGACTGAGCTGTAGAGGCTGGTGCAGTGGTCCGAATATGGTGGGAGCAGCGCGGTTAAATTTGGGGGCGTGATATGCGTGGGCGGCGGGTGATGTGATGTATAGCTGTGCTGAATGGATTCTGACATGTTGATGTAGATACGGGGGCGAGAGGCATCACTTCGGTGCCCACTTTAGGTGAGCACGTCGAAGGCTTACCTCACCGTCATGAGGTGAAATATTCCACAGTTGATGGCTATATCGGGCGGGCCTCAGACCTATGAAAGGTGTGGACTTGACATGGTTTATAGGTACCGCAAAGTGGACTTCCCCATTTCCACTAATTGTCATGTTTTAGTCGAGCATGTGTCTACGGTAGACGTCTACCGATATTTCTAATGACGTACTCCTATTTAATCGAAAATGCAGTCGATTTGCAAACTTGATGGGAATAAAACTTGCAAGCTCGCCGATGACCTGTTTCGTTCACGTCTGAGGCCGCGCTGCAGTCACGCTGGAGCTGCAGTGTGAAGCCATGGTCAAGTCACGGTGAGGCCGTGCTGAATTCGTGCCCGGCTCCGGGCTCCCCGTCCCTCCCCACAGACTGCCCGCAGTTGGCCGGACTGCCATGCACCCTCTCACCTTCCCCTGGGCTCCTCTCATTGGTCTGCAAACACTGCCAGCCCGCAGCCGATAGCGCCGTGCATGGCCTGACGCCAGTTTGACGGTGCCGCTGGCCTTGTTGGAGCCAGAAATGATGCGGCTTTTATGCCGCTGCCTAACTGGGCCCGAACGGCCGGCCGGTGGGGTTATTGCGACATTCGTTGTTGGTACTTGGCCACTCCATCTGCCTCCTTTGGCTTTTTGCGTCCCCGAGCGACAAAAGACAAACAGACTGACTCTTTCGCAAACCTCACAGCATGGTGCTCGAAGAAAGCATTGAGACGCCGCCGGACCCAGGGTAGTTCTGCCGTGCAGACTTCCTTCCTTGTATTGCCTCGTGCGGCGTGAACTGAGAAGGTGACGCAACTCGGTTCCACACTGTGAGCGTTCCGTGCGTCTTCCATTACCGGCAGTGGTGCAATGCTGACGTAGCTTCATGCTGTGGTTGTAGTGGTGTAATGTAATCTCAATTCAATAAGCCCTTGGTAACCGTATGGATCGTCATGTCACGCTCACTTTGTGCATATACCTGCATTTGATGCAATGGTGTTTGATATACTGACATATCGACCCTCATAAGTTATATGCCGCACCACGAATATCCGCGTTGAAGCAGTGCCACAGTCTCAGACAGAGTAACTAGCCTCGTGCCTCGCAGCTCGACCTCTCGCCGCTCGCCGCCGCTGCAGCGGCACTCGCTGACAGAAGTAGGCCGCCGTCAGTGGTCCCAGTTCGGACGGCACGGTACAGTCAGCTGCGGGCGGGGGCGGGGGCGGCAGGATGGTCACGGGCGGCGCGCCGAACCGTGGCGAACCCGGGGGGGGGGGCGGGGGCGGCCGGGCCCAGCCGGGGCACTGCACCCTGCCCGGATATGTCGGCTGAATTCAGCCGGCTGTGTCGGAGCGGGGGTGGAGGGGACGCACTATAGGCCGGCAGCCTGAAAAAGCGCTAGAAATTCCCCCAAACTGACTGTCCGCAATATGAACAAAATAGGTATCATTTAATCCCAAATTGATCGAAGAATATGATTCCGATGCTAGTTTTGCCCTAAGGTCAAAATTGAGGTCGTCAGTTGTCACCAAACACAAGACAATTTAGACTCTCTATAGGCCACCACATTTACCGATTTTAATGATGAACTTTAGTGGTAGTTTATTAGTTGACCAATCGTCGTTTTGAACGAAATTTCCTGTCAGACTAGTTCAGGGCACTGTTGTTCACTGTGCCAACATCATTCTGACATATTGCATCGCTTTTCTGCAAGATAAGCTAGCTGTTTGCAAGCAGCTGCAAGACGTAATTTAAAATCGTATCCAATTTTTTAATTAGACTTTTATAAAAACGTTATTTCGAGCGGCTAAAAATGAACATTTTATACTAGCCTCTGATTACTCATCTTTTGTTCCATATAGGTGCTTTGCTGCTTTTCCCTGCTACTTTTCGAGATATGCGCCAGTAAACCACATGATGTAGGGGCAATTGTCACTTCGCCGCTCCACTGAAGGCCCGGCGCTCTTTAAAGCGCTGGAAGTTGTGAAAAACAAACGCTTATAATCTAAATAAAATATATGTCCCTGAGCTCAGAATTGATCAACGCACACAATGCTGTCAACATTTCTGGGCCAAACTCAAAAATTCAGTCATTATTAACCCCTAAACACAAGTCAGTGATAATCAACAACAACTTGCTCTTTAGTTAGACTTTTTGAGAAATGTTATTTCGAGCCGCTAAAAATGGCCATGCCATACAAACCACCAATCATCTTTCTGTCATGCCCTACTCGCAATTTTTGCTAATGCCTGCTACTCTTCGAGGTCACGTGACCTCACCATTAAAAGTGAATGGGGAAATAAGGAAACTGTTGTTTTTGCGCATGGAATGATTTCAAACTATCTCAAGCATACGGAATCGTGATTTCGTGCACTCCTTGCAAGATCCGATGCTTTACTTTTGCATTTTTTACCTTCCGTGACGTCATTTATGACGTCACACCGGTCATAGGAGTTTCTCGTCAATAACTCAAGATCAAATTGAGCCAGCGACTCGGGAAAGCCACCAATGGACTCGGGAAGACCTCCCGAATCGAATGATATGCGATACGACCTCCTTCGATTAAGTTCGTGGCCTGATGGGCTCTGAACTGACCTTGACTCGAGGTCAATACCTTAAGTTGACCTCACCCGAACAAAAAGTATACCATTCGACGCGCCTGAGCCAGGCGAACACGATGGTGCCAAAATCGCTGCTCTGCGGCCATTTTTTTGCGAAATTATTTGCCAAAAACCAAACCCTACCTTGGGCTTTTTGACTTCACATCAGAGGTTACCGGTTGACCTGGGACCTTAAAATCGGGTATCAATCGTTCCGCCTTGAAACGGCGCACACGCTTGTTTTTTCCGCGAGGCTCTAGCTCCATTAGGGGCGAAACGGCAAAAAGGGGTCGTACCAACCCTCCCCCCTCGGCCGGCCGAGGGGGTGGGGGGTCCGACAATAGGTCCGGCGAGGGTTAAGCAGCCCCACTTCGTTTTTAGCATGTTTGCTTGTCACTGAGATTAACAACTCAATCACAAATAATTTCTAGCACTTTTCCGGACCCCCGGCCCAGTGTGGGACGGTCATATCAGGTCGAGTCAGGAGTGGACTAGAACGGTGGGTGTTGGTTGTTTGCTGACTGACCGACCCATTGAGGGTTGTTTCCCAACGACTCACAGCAGCAGTACCTCATCGTCCCGGCCATCTCGCCTCCTCGCCACCGCTGCCTGACAGTCATCACACCATCGTCCTATCGCTCCTGCCCGGGAAGTGTCAATCCCTGTACCACCAACCGTTCTCAGTGTGAGCTCTGACTGGCTTTGTGGCCGTGCTCGCCGCCGTGGTGCCAGCACAGCGGCTCTCTGGCCGACCCGGGCCCCAAACTGCGCACATTGCCCCGCTGCGGCCCCCGCAGCGCGTTTGACCCAGACCGCCGCTGTCGGCACATCAGAGGCCTGGACCGGCTCCAGCGCGCTTTGTTTGACCGTCTTAGGGATGTGCCACTTATTATGTGTCTCCGGATGCCAGTGCAGATGGAGGAAAATGCTCGTCTTGCAGACAAAAGTATGCAATTGACCCATAGAGCGGGTCTTGTCACTGCTGACCCTTGGTACTTACGAAAGGCGGCGTGGATTGAAGTGAGGGACCCCTTTGTATTCTTTAATGTCATTCTCATGATAATACGCCCTATGCCGGTGCATCTGCAGAGACAAGCCATGTGTGTTTTTCTCCTCGAGTGTTGTCTTCTCATAAGTTCTATGGTGTGACCCCGTTCTGACCTCATCTCCCCTATCTCGCCCGCAGCCCGGCCCGGCAGTGTGTCTTCGCCGTCAAGGGCACGTCAATGGTGGTCTCGCGCGCCCGGAGTCCGGCTCCGGCCGGCTCCGGGCCCGTCTCCGGCTCCGGGCCCGGACCGGCCACAGTGACTGCGGCTGCCAGCGAGGGCTCCGGCTCGGGCGGCTGCGGGGTGGCCGCCTCGGACATCCAGCGGCACCTGCAGGACATGCTGGCGCTCATCCGACCCGACGACAACCTGCTCATGGTCAGTGGATACTGGATGACTCTGTCCACTCATCTATCTCCCCTTTTTCTCCCTGCTCCTCCTTTCACCTCCCCTTCATCTATCTATCATCTCCCTTCCCCCTCTCTCTGTCTCTTTCTCTTCTAATTCTCTTTCTCCCTCGCCTCATTCCAAACTCCTACCACGTACCACCCTGCAGCCACATCAACACACCATCCCCACTGCTGCTGCATACCACCACTGCTGGCACGCCCATGTGTCTCTGTCTGTCTGTCTGTCGGGTAAACTCTACATAGTGCCAGTCGATACACCGTGGGTGTACCCGGGCGGCTGTGTATCCTGTGTGGTCGGACGGTGCGGCGGCGACTCCCCCGGTTTCCGGTGTCCTCTGTGGTGGGAGTGTGGGTTTCCGCAGAGGAAGGTCGGACTGGGACCGGTGTGGGCGGAAGGTGTGCCTCTGTTTTCTTCCTGGGTGCCTGGATTGTGATCTGTATTGTTTGGCGTCAGCTGGTTATGGTATCACCTGCCCCGCACCTACTCCATTCCGCGAAACTGAGCCTGTGTTTGGCTGCGCCCCGGGCTAGTTTTCTTGTGGCTTATCTGTAACTGGCGCGAATGTTCTGGGCAGAATTAATGAGGCTTATGAATTTGGTACTACGAAGGTGAACCATATTTGGAAGGGACTGTCAACAGGACCATCTATCTGAAGACAATCAGTGGAGAAAAGACGACGGCGCTAGATAACAAGGTGTAGGCCGTGCAGGTGTCGGGCGCATTGTTGCGCTCCAACCTGTGCAGCTCAGCAACGACCGCATGCAGTCTGCAACAGCGTCGTTTGTTATCATTCCTGATGCGGATCTTGCGAACAACAGCTGTCTACGGCCCGGGTTTTTATCGGTTTGATGTATGTGCCCGTGCGCGTCTGTATGCGGGTCGACTAGAACAGCAGGGTAGCTAAGGATGCGAGAGCGGTGCGGTGAACTGGTCAGTGGAGTTTGTGTGGTGGTCAGTGGACAGTGAACAGTGGACTGTGGCGGTGGACGGCACGCCGTGGTGTGGACCGCCAGTGGAGGCTGTGGAAGCGCGCTGCACTGTGGACCGCTTCTGTCGGCCTATTGATGTGGACAGTGGATGATAAACGTTGGTCAGTGGTCGGTGGACTGCTTCTGTTTAGCAGTGGGCGGCGGGTAGTGGTGGTGTGGACTGCTTATTGTGGACGAGCAATGGACAGTGGACGATAACCGGTGGTCAGTGGTCGGTGGGCTGATCACCACACTCCCAAATGGGCTCCAGCTGTGGCCGAAGCCAGCTGCCCAGATCGATGATACATGGGTGAAAATCGCTCCAGCTGCTGCCCGAAGAGGTGATCCGGATCCGGCTCCATCAGTCTGTATCTGTTTGGCAGGTGACTGACACTTAGGATGCTCCCATTAAATTGTGATAAATTCAGATGTGGCGGCTCTTTAATGTAACTTTTCGGACAAATGACAAGGACTGATGCTGGCAAACGTTTTCTCAAGTTAAAGGTAGTGTGCCACCTTTGAAAGATTTCCCATTTTATTTTTCCTAGGATAAGAAGCTTCTGTTTTTACCTAATATCGCAAAAAAAATCAAAAATGGGCCTGGAATAGTGCCTTTTTCGCCTAAAAGTTTTTCGGTTTTTAGATATGTATAACAACTGTAGTGGGCTCACCTGCAAACAGGCGTCGGGCAACAATCGCGAATGCGGCCGGCGCACTTGTGACAATAAGCAAAGGTCATTATAGTGTTACGACCATACGACGTACGGGAATGAGTTATCAGCTGTCTAATCGTAGACAACACAATGTCGAGCCTTAAACTGTAAGCCCGTATTGGTATTGTTTCTTTTATTTGGCTGTCGAACATTATTTATGGTTTGAAATATGATTTTATGTAAAATAATTGATATGAAAAAGCCGTCTTATAAGTAATGACCCCATTTCACCACACGCAAGTGGCAGAAATGACAATGATCAGCTGACGCATTTTTCTTGGCCGAAGTCAGAGCGCGCGGCCCGACGCACCACGCGTATTTGGAAATTCCGACCTCGACGAGCATCAGAAGCCACCTGACAGGCGTGTTCGAAACCGCAGGAGATGATGATGAACGGGTTTATCGAAACTTGATTGGATGAGCATATCGGTAATAGCGATTTCAGTGTGTGCATTTATTGTTCATAGTGGTGTGAAATGTGGTTGGGGTACGACCGACAACCCGTCGGGGCGAATTTCGTACTGGGGTACTCAAAATTTGAAGAATTTAAGACGTTTCCATGAGTTTTGAAGGTATGGATAAGTTCTAAAAATCCGGTTCTCCTTATCTGGGCCATTAACTCCATACGGTCCAAGAAAGCTGGCACACTACCTTTAATGCTACTGCACTTGTTGTCACTTGCTACCTACTCCATCAGCTACGTTTTCGTGTTTTGTCCTTACCGGCGGCTGCGCAGGTAATAGCCTGGGATCATATTGCAGCTTGGCTCGGTCACCCCCCCCTCCCCCCAACAGATCTTACGAAACACATTGTGGTGGTGCGCAGTGCTTTACTCTGCACAAAGCCTTGGTGCACTAAGTGCGGTTTTACTGGATCTCAAGGAATGATTGGTGTGCCTCGTGCGGCCTCTGTGTTCTCTGCAAAACAACGATAATTGCAAACCCTCGGGTTGCGCTTTGCAGGCTCGCTGCTGAGCGACGACAACCTTGGTGCTGCTGCGGTATCCGTTACCCGAACACTGCCTTTCAGCTCAGGCGGAGGGGAGATGTCTTTAGTATGCTCGAATCGCGATGCCTTAGTATGCCCGAGCCATACACCTTCATTTGTGGCTGTGTTTACCGGTCGGTCGTTAGATTGCGAAATTGGCATGCCGGACCGGTACGAATCACCATTTCAATCTCGGTTATTGCCGTGCAGACGTGGCCGTGGGTGACCTCCGCTCGCCGCTGCAGTGCAGTTTAATAACACCGGCTCTGTCTCGCGGTGAAGACACAGGGGCTCTTCACCGGCCAACTCACTGCGAATCTGTCGTGAGTCGAGTGTCATGAGTCGCGACTCGAGTTGCGTCGCTATCGCCTCGGGTAACCGCACGACTCGAAACCGCAGGAGGAAGCACCGCAGATAACGCGCTGGGAACTCTCGTGACCCGAGAACCGCGAGCTGGCGGCTCCGTATTAGGAGCGGCCCTCTGCGCGTAGCTCGGACGATAGCCGGGACGCGTGCACTGGCGTAAGATGGACACGGAGCGTGGGCTGGGGAGGGATGTCGCTGAGATGCGTCGGCGGACGCTCGCCGGCGGTCGGCGGCCTCTGTTGATAGGCAGGAGAGTGCCACGTTCGGTCGCTCTGAGATGCTCGCCTTTGTCCGTCGAGTGGTGGACAAAGACCGGCGAGTGGTTCTGGAGCGGCCGGTGCGAGCCGCCGACCGGCAGGTTTTTGCCAGAGATGACGGGCCGATGCCCGGACGGAGGCTCGGCAGGGCACCTGGCACTCGGTTTGGAACACGGCAGGGGCACCGACAGTCCGTAGTCGTGACATGAACTTTGTTTGCCTGGTATGATTGGATAGCTCGGGGAACCAGGTCTGAAGGCTAGCGCCTGTCTGGAGCGCAGTTAGGTAACGGGTTTGTGGTTTGTGTGACGTGAATATCACCTGAGAACCGCTGCGGATTTTTCGCTGTTGTTAGTCGGGCAGCCTTATTGCGCAGTTCTAATGAACACCGCTACGGCGAAGATGGTGGTCGCTCATATTTGCCGAGTGACTGTTATACCTGTGTCTTGCTATGTAATCGTCCTTCATTGTGTTGACAGTGCCGGCGTCTGACTTTGAATAGGCCGGTGGACTCTGACCTGCGTAGGAGTTGTGACAGAGGCGCTATCAAACATGCATTGTCCTATGTATGGCCCATATCATCCCTTTCGCACTAAATTTTACGTTTCTATCACCGCCAGTATGTGTGCCCTCTCCGCTGAGTAAACAAAAGCCACACACCGCCGCTTATGTGACTCACGGCCGTCCCTTGACCCTCTCACACCATGATCTGGTCACGGCAGCCATGGCCTGTAGCGCGCCGTGACCCAGCTACCCCGTCACGGTGGCCGCCGGGCCGTGAGGATGCGTCCCACGCGGACACTCTCCTGCTCGTGGCGAGGTGGGCTCGTGGCATGGCGAGCTGAGCTGGCGTGGGGAGCAGGGCTCTCGCGTAGCATGCCGGGAGCTCTCGCGTGGCGTGCCGGGAGCTCCCCGTTTCGCGTCCGGCCGAGCCGGTCACGATGTCCGGGTCACCGGCGGCACGGAGCGCCACACGCCCGTTCGATAGAAAACCTGCCCGTCACGCGGCCGTCACAGAGCCCGTCACGCGCTGACACGGTGACCGTCATTCGGCTTCTGTCATACTTCGTCTGCCACACGCCGTCTGTCATGCGCTTTCAGTCATCGTACGTCGCTTTCTGACTGTGATAGCAATAGCAACAAGTATGCCAGCTGTCCTTCGTGGCTATCAAGCACACTTTGTGATGAACCCGAGATGAAGCCGCTTTATCCCTTTTGGACAGACTTTACTAGCTCATAGCTGTAATAAGCTGTAGTCGCCTTCTGCTCACCGGCGGTCCCACTGTGCGGGACGCGGCGCCGTGCCGCGGCCCAGCCGACCGGCCGGCTGTGGCGACCCAACCCGCGCGGCGGCCGGCCTACTTCAGCTGTGGCCGCCGCCGCCGCCCAGCCGGCCGCCGCCGCCGGCCGGCTGGATGGCCTCGATGCGTTTTGTGGCGCCTTCTGTCGGCCCGTCTGTCGGGCGGCTACGATTGATGGTGTCGGAGCTGAGGTAGTGCGGTGAAGCTGTGCTGGGACGGCACCGAATGGGAGCGAGCGTGGAGAACGGGGTGCAGTGGCACTAGGATAGAATTGGTGTCTGGCAAATAACAACACCCAGCTCAATGTTCAGCGTGCCCTCAGTATAAAACATAGAGTTTGAATGATACGTAATGGCTGGACGGCAGGACGCTGATTGGTGCCGATCCAGTTGCCTCCCCTTTTCTGTATCAAATGAATAGAGCTTGGCGATGACGCCATTACTGACAGTGATCGTGGGTCCTCTGTCGGCTGAGCTGACGGCTGACTAGGACCTGGCCGCCACCAGCAGCTGGTATTGACGTCATCGGCCGCAGTCTGATGTAACTCTCCTCACGCCGGGGAGAGTGTTGGCTCGACGCACCTCGCCCGTGGCCAGCAGAGTCCCGGTAACCGAGCTGGCCCTCTCCCAATGTGAGCTACGTAACAGCTGCGGCCTGTAGCGCAGTCCGACGGAGCGCTTTGCAGCTCCGGGCCGAAGCTGACCCAGCTCTGCTGCGGTGTGGCGCAATCACTGGGCCAGTTGGTCGCGGAACGCCCGCAACTGCAGCTGACTGGGCTCAATCTAAAACAGGCAGAGTGGACAGAGCGGACGGCGACTCTCGGCCGCCGCCGCCGCCGTCCCAGTTAGCTGCAGCTTGCCACATCCGTCGCCGGCTGTCAGCTGCGGAGCCGGCGCTCCGGCCCGGCGTGGGCCGCGGAGCCGCCGCCGGCATGGCTGCGTTTTTGCCGCGCCGTGAAAGTGATCGGTGCCGACGCTGGCCGCGACGAGCGGCGGACGAGCGGGCTGCCCCGTTCCTTTCCCGTCCGCAGGGTGGTGTTGTGAGACATGGCCCACGGCTAGACGAGGCGGTCGACGGTGGTTAGGTTGGAATAGAATTGGGCTGGAAGGATGGACTTGAGCAGGGATTGTCGGGAGTTTAGAGCTTCGTGTGTGACGTTGATAGTCAGGAAACTGTGATAGGGCTAGCAGCTGATAGCTGATATGCCTTGCGCTCACACATGTTATACTGAGTGGGCTGTAGATAGTTACGATAGTTACGCAATGGGTTGTCACGCTACGCCGCCGATCGTATGGTTACGTATCACGTTCACTACAACACACTAGACGGTGGCCACGCATCATTCGTTAGCTTTGTGTGTGTGCGTGTCTGGTGGCTTTGAGCATGTGTATTAGAGTGATCGGAGGTTCTGTTGTAGACTGATATCCACCCGTGCTAACCGCTGTGTGCCCGCACCCATGACCCGCCACCGTGCTTACCGCCGCATATAGACACACAGATAGCGTTTAACCTCGCCGGACCGGGCGGCGGCCGTGCTGATGCATTGTTTGTCTCGATAGCGCGGTGTGCATTCCACGGCCGCGCCCGCCCGCTGCGGTGGTGGCCTTCATTCAACAGTTCAACACGGGCTGGTCGGTTGTGGGGGTGTGTGCCGCCTCGTCCAGCGCCCCTGACCGCCACGTGACCGGTAGTCTCGGTGCCACGTGCCGTCATGTGACTTGTAATCGTGGCGCTTTGGCCATCACGTGACCTGTGACCTACCTTCTCTAACCATCACATGACCTATGCCCCAGTTGCCGTCTCTGACCGTCACGTGACCTGTCTGTATCGCAGGCGGTGCGTTTGGAGAGTGAGCACGTGGGTCGCAGCCGGTACCTGGTGGTGGTGGCGTCTCCAGCTGCCGACGAGTGCTGCCTGCTGGGGATTGACTGTCAGCGGCGCACCACCATCGGCCTGGTGCACCGGCTCCTCTCCGAGACGGAGACATCGCTCGACGGAGACGGGTGAGTAGGTTGGAGAGGCGAGAGAGGACGCTGAGACAGGGGAGGTGATGTAAAGGTGACCTTAACTCTGTTGACGTGAAGTGTAGTTTACTCATGACTTCATGGCTCAGTATGCCCAAAGTTTAGCAGTGTTCGTGTCGCTTAGATCAGCAGTGCCACGCTGTATCATAATCATACCCGTTCCCGCGGCTGCCACAACAGCTCGACACTCGAATCACAACAACGTGACCCACTATTTTCCCTCCGTGTGAGCCGGTGATTGTGCCACTGACCGCCGCGCTCCGGTCGCCCGCGGCGGCGGTCGGAGGAGCCATTACGTGTCGATGATGGTGACCGCTGTGGGTCGGTTGGAGAGCTGGCAGGGACCGCGGACCAGGGACCGGGGACCGGGGACCACCCAGGGCTGACGCCATGTGAGTGGGCGGGCCGTTACGAGCAATTACCACCCGGCTGGGGCGGCCAGCGCTAGTGAAAACCACCGGTCAAAGCACGGGACGAACGCTCATTATAGTGTGTGTGTGTGGGAGAGAGACAGGGAGGCTGATGACGGCTGGCCGCTCTGACCACACCGTACCACGCCCCCTGCCACGTCACAGGGGCTAGGTCCCACGGGAGGGGGGCAGGTGTAGGTCATTAGTGGGTCGATTTCCTAGCGGATATGACAGGTGCCGTTTGTTTGACGCACGGAAAGCTGACGACTTTCCGACAATCCGCAAGGTTTTTGGTGTTGAAGCTACATTTAACTGCCCGTTAATCGCTGTCGTGCTTGTCCTGTCCCGGTGTTCCATAACCTTGGCAACCTTGACAAATCGCCACACGACGTCATTACAATGGTAATCCTGGACATCATCGCGACAATCTCGACACCATCGCACACAAACCGGCGCATTGTCGTATTATTAGGCACGAAACAGTGACGTTTGCGCCGCACCGACCCAGCAATGCTGTGCTACAGTCCACCGTTAATCTTCCCTCGCCCATCGCCCCATCGCCCCTCGCCCATCGCCCCATCGCCCCTCGCCCATCGCCTTCCACTGTGCCCATATCGCCCCGTCTGACGCCGCTCTGTTCTTCCACAGCGCGATCGTGGTCCGAACCGCCGGCGACAGCCACATCTTCAAACCGGTCTCTGTCCAGGCCATGTGGTGAGTGACAGCCCTGACTCATAGCGGGCAGATTTTTACCGTGTCTTTGTTGGAGTGTTTGCCTTCGTACCTGGCTCGGTGTGGTGTGGGGTTCATTTTGGTATGATTCGCCCTTCTCGTGAGTGATTGTGCTGCGCAGTGGTGAAGGGACGCTGCAACTGTTGCACTGCCGGCAGCTGTGACTGCAGGCGAGCGACACCGCCGCTCACTCGAGCTGACACAACAAATGGCCAACAAGTGGCAGCCAGTGGTGCAGTGTCACTCAGTGCAGACCACGGAGCTGGGACGGAAATGGATGGGTCTTTTGTATCAACGCTAGGCGCTCTGCAGCCGCCTGCTTCGTCCAGCCAGTCGCAAATCCCATCAGTAAACAAACCTGGGAGGTCGGGACTTGTGTCATGTGCACATAGCTCACGTCACGCCTAAGACCGTAGCAGTGGCCGACGGTATCACCGCGCGGCGCCGGGCCTTCCCTTGGCATCTGCGCTGCGCCCGTGCCCCGGTGGTCGGCGCCTTGTGCCCTTTGTCCGGGCGGTGCCGCTGCCAGTAGAGCTATCGGGCGTCGATTGACCGGCTCATCTGCAGCGACCGGCACCGGCCGCGGTGGCGGCTGGTATATCGGCGGCGTCAACACACGGGACAGGAGACGTCATCACACGGGGACATGGGCCGTCATCATATGGGGCATGGGGTGTCATCGGCCGGTAGGGAGTGGCCGGCAGGTGGCTGACGGCGAAGCGATTGGCGGGCGACTGGCGCGGGGCTGACGGGGTGACGCGTGCCTCTGTCGCCGGTTAGAGGTCATGGGTGGCACGGGGTCACATGTGGTTAGCATTTATCACCCGTGGGCGGCGTGACCTTCCGAGAGTCACACGTCTGCGACATCACTCGTCATCCGTCATCCTTCTGTGACACCGTTCGACACCCCTCAGTCCGGAACTCTAACTCAGAGGGGTGACACTCTGACCCCGACCCCGCGCGAGCTGTGCCCAGTGGCCCAAGGCCACGGTCAGTCAGGGGCGGGTTGGCGGACGATTTCAGTTCATGGGTCTGGGAGAGGAGCCAGCCGCCGCTGCTGCCACTCACTGGCTCGGGCGTTACGGTACGGGGGGGGGGGGGGCGGGGTGATGGCAGGGTAGATAGTGGAGGCTAGCTGCAGGCAAGGTTAGAGTAGGACTGCCTCAGGCGACTGCCTACCTCCGATTGGGTTTTGATATGGTCCCGATTGGGAGTAATCGGACCGGCAGGAAGTGAACGACTTGATAAGATTTGCTTGACCTTGCTAGCCTCAAAGCTTGCTGTGGTGAAGCTTTGGTTGGCAGGTATGACTAATTGATTTTGTCTCGCCCGCACGGCGTGGACGTCCGGGCGGAATGATCACTCCGACTGCAGCTGTCGGCCGTCCTCGGTGGTCCGTTCGCCCCGTGAAGGTGTCTTTGTTCCCCGACCGTTCACTGAGGTGTCGCCACTGCCGGCTGCCGACGGGTCTCAGTGTCGAGCCTCACTGCCGACCTTGGTAGCACCGCTGGGCGGTCGACCAGGCGGAAATGTAGCACCGAACCGGCCGGACCCACTGCTGCCCTGTGTGTACTCCTTTTGGCTGCTGCTGGGGTTGATAATGGTGCTGTTGTTCGTAGTGGAGGTGATTGTGTTAGTCTACAGATTGGCCATGACGGTGTGACAGCAGATCGAACAACATACGGGACAGTTTCGATGTGGTTTGGTGGTGTTTGCTAACGTTGGTTTGGGCAGCGGCCGTAACGATTCGATTGCCTCGTCTCACAGCCTCAATATTGGATTGTTTGTTTCCACCCCTCCCCTCACAGCGTACCGATTCCAGCAGTGCGCCATTGGAGCGTCATCTCCCGCTGGCACAATCAGTCCACCAACCCCATCACTGCTCAACACCCACCACCCACCGTCCACCGACTGCCCATGGTCTTCAGTCCCATTGCCGAGCCGAGTCGGCGCCAGATGGCTGCGAGGACACGCAGCTCCAGTCGGCAGCCCCGCTCGGAGCCGGTCACCGGTGAAATGCGGTGCGTGTGTCACTACCCGCGCCAGCTGCGGCCGAGTGGCTCGTTTCTCATGTCTCGAAAGGTCACCTTTCGACGCGCTCGCGTGCCGTGTCGATTTGGTTATCCTTGGAGCGCGCAGGCGAAGGCCAAGATCCGCGTCGCATAGGTTAATGTTTGGAGGATGTTTATGGATGTGTTAAACGACCTTTGCCGACGCTGCGTCCCAAAAATGTTAATTTGTTTATGGATGCGGTATAAACTTTCAGTATGGGCTGATATAAAGCTCCTCTGTGCCCTGTGGGGTCATGGATCGCCGTGTTTATATTCAGTTCATCTTCTCCGCGCGTGACACCCCGCTTCTATCTGGATACCGACTCGTTGGACCCACACTCTCGTCTGGATGTGTTTTCAATTGGCCATTTCTGGCCTGGATGGGTGTTTGGTGGCCGCAACTGCTGCCTGGATGGGTGGCCGGTAGATCGTTTCTGTCTGGATGGGTGCCCGGGGACCCCTGCTCTTGCTTGCACAGCAGTCCACGGGGCTAGTCCGATAGGTTTATTGGGCTGTTAAATCTGTACCGGGCGGCCTGAGTGCCGGTTTAGCTGTCTCGTCTCCACTCTGAGATGGATTATCATAACCTTGCGCCTGCTTATCGCATGCTAATCCGATCATGCTAATCACGGTCTCTCATTGGTGTTTGAGGCTCATGCGTCCTTCGTGTGGGCCTCTCAGATCCGATCCGTCGCCTCAGGACCACCTATCTATCTGTCGCGTGACTAGTGTCCGGCTGAGCGCCGGCCAGCGAGGGACGGAGACCCACGCCGCCGGCATCAGCTGCTCGACTGATGAAGGAGACCGTGTCTCTCGTCTGTCCGTCTGTCTATTGGCTCCTCATGGCGAGCGGCTCTCGAGCTGTGCCAGAGAGGTCGTTCACCCCGGCCGCTGAACATTGCGGAGTCTGGTAGGCACGGTATGGACATTGGGCGCGGCGTAGTTACCTCCACTGATCCTGATCGCTCGGTGAGCCGGATTTCGTGATATGCGGTGGCCGGTTTACCCCATAAATGAAAGTAAACAGATGTTGGATAGATGCTGTCCTTGTCTGCGGGAGGTTTTAAACGATGGCGTCCTTGACACGCTTGCGGGATTCAGATTTATGCTCCAACTCCCTGTGTTGCCGTCATTCAGCGGCATGGCCTCATCCGACCGCACCATCCTTGAATAGGAATCCGTTGAGCAACCGTCGGCTGCAGCTCGTCGTTTTTGGTCGCCGCTCTGCCATGTCCCGGTGTGTATCCGGCCGAGCACCCACGCGGGGAGGTCTGACTCACGGCTGTCCGGTCAGACCTGGTCGGGCCAGTTCTGGTGGTCGCACCGTCGAGGTGACTGCGCCCCAGTCACGATTGCACGCCTCATTAACTGGGAGGTATGCAGCGCTGATGTGGTGTCTGATTTCAGTCGATCAGGATGTGTGATGCAGGTGATCGTCCGAGATGGAATTGGTTTGTTATCGATAGCTGACGTCACTCAATACAAGGAAAGATAAATGCGAATGCATTCCACAACCTGATTTGCGACTTGTGATTCCAATCGCTTCACCGAGTGAAAAGCAAGCACTCAGCCTCTGAAGCCCGTCGCTCTTTCGTTGCCCGTTGACCGTGACGCCTATCGGGTCTCTCGTTGGCACCACCATCCAACGCCCGCCTCCCCGCGTTAGCCGCTGGTCGGTGATCCGGGCGGCCTTCTGTCTGACCGTGAGACGGCCGGCCGGTCCGTGTTACCCCCTCCATCGCCCGGCGTCTCTCCCGGCACCCTCGCTCCAAGGCTGGCCCGCACCGGTCGCGCCAACAGCGGGTGGCCGGTCAGATCGTGACGGAGCCGCCAGCTCGGTATGAGGGAGAGATGGTGGGATGGGCCGTGGTGGGGTGGTGGAACGGGAAAAATATACCGGTGATGGGACGTGCAGGGTGTGCTGAGGTGGAGTGGGAGAAGCTGGGTGTCTGGGCTTCCCAGCTCCTTTGCAGCTCGGTGCAGAGGGACCGATGTCCGGTACTTTACAATTGCAGCTATGTATGTTGTCCAGAGAATACAACCGATGTTGCTAGCTTTGTGAATTTAATGAGGGCCGCATAGTCACAGCTTGGAGTGGATTGTAGTCTGCAGTGATAAAGCGTTCCATTAAATTCTACCCCAGCGTGCTCGGCCGGTGTGGCATAGACAAAGCGGAATTGATCATGGAAGTCACCATGGCATCTCCGACGCCTTTCTCCATTCGTCCCCTCGGGCTGGTCGGAAATCCCTAGTGGACATTCACTGCACCCACTGCACTCAGTGTAACTCGCTGAGAGCCACTGCTCACTTGCTAAGAGGCTGCTCGAGAGAGGCGACCAGAGCAAGGAGTGAAGGACGGCCACCGTTGCGAACTTGGCTGCGTTTGGCCCAGCTGCAGACCATGTTTGCGCTGGTGGTCTGGCGGCCGGCCGGCGCTGTGATGTGCCAGCTTTATATAGCGCCGCTTTGAGCGGCCGTACTCGCCAACTCGGGTGTCGATCGTGAGCTAATTATATCGGGCACGGTGCAGGGCTGCCAAGATTGGCGACACCAACGAATAGAGCGGCTTCGGGCGTTCGAGCAACTTGCACTGAAACACAGCTGACTCTATCGTTCACCGAATGCGAAGTAAATGGTGTTGTTGCTATCGTTCCCACAGACTCTGTTTGTACGGTAATTTGTGCCCGAACCGTGTGGCGGCCGCGGCAGCCTTGGGTTGCAGCGCGGCGGTAATTAATGTGGTTATGAGGCAAACAAGTTGTGTAATGAGGCGGGCGACCGTGCCGCTCACTGCTTGCTGGATGCGGCATCTCGGTTGATATGGGCGTGTTGATTCTTGTACCGACGGTAAACCCAGGCTGCAAGTCCCGGTTCCGCTCCTTCTGAGCAAACTGAACCGAATGAGGGTTGGGAGTGTGCCTTGCAGACCTTGTTTTGCCTTGTCGTGTCTGTTTTTGGCTGACTTGCAGTGTTTTATTTCACTTGTGCAACAAACCTCCGCCTCCGACGTAATTTATTATCTGTTACACGGCTCGCGCATCCCACAACGCCGCTCTCTCGGCTCAAACAGACCACCTCCCCAGCCTTTACACCACCTCCCCAGCCTTCTCTGGCGTTATACGAGTCTGTCGCCCTTGTGTTGTCCCCCCGCCCATCTAACCCGGCTGCTCCTCCCGCTCGCCAGGTCGGCTCTGCAGACGCTGAACCGATGCCGCAGCCTGGTGCCGCGGCCTGTGGCGCGCTTCGACTGGGTCAGCTCGTACGAGAGGCTGGTCAGCTCGGACCAGTCGTGTCTGAACGAGTGGCACGCCATGGAGGACATCGAGTACCGGCGGCCCTACTCGCCCAACTGTCTGCCGGCCAGGTCAGTTGGCGGCCGGGGGGCGGCGGATGGGCGGGGTATTTAGGGTTTGGCTCATGGTGAAGGGATAGTAGAAATAGGAATGTGAGAGGTCAGTTTGTGAACCTTGTATTGAGCATAATAATTTTACTTGGTCTGCTCATCTCGCATCAGTCCATGCTCGTGGAACATGGTTTGGTGGTCTGTCACTGTTGCTGTGTCGTTTTTCCTCCTCACTCATTCGCCAGTGTGTGTAGTGTTTATCTCTGTATGTGACGTGACTGTGTCTCTATCTAAATGAGAGTTTATCAGTCTGCATCTATGATAGCGTGGACTTACATCATCTGCACCCGTATCTGTGTCGATGTGTGTCTGGGGCCGCTCGGCTGTGACGGTAACCGGGTCGTCCCTCCCTCCCTCCCTCGCTCCCGCGGAGGCTGCACGCTCCAGCTAGCAGGGACAGGCGGTATTGTACCGTCCCTCCCTCCCTCTCCCTCCTACCGCGGTAGGACAGGTGCCACGCGCGTGTCGCCCACAGCTGCTGCGGTCGCCGCTGCCATCCTCCGCTCTGTATCTGTGTGATGTGCGTCTGGTCTTTAGTGGAACACTGATGCTAGATGTGACTCAGCGTAGGTTCCACTTGGTGTGTGCTGTCCAACTGCACTTTGCCAACTCTCCCTGGAACACATTTATCTAAGTGTGTTTATGTTTGAAGTTCATATTCGGACTGTCTGTGCTGACTGCGACCCGTCCATTCTCCGTTGTTTTTGTCTCTGTCAGGTTCACTTGTTTTCCACCTGGGAAAGCTTTTATTTTTCTATTGCTTGTGGCCAGTGTCACATCTCAGCTCTGATGCATCTTGCATACGTGACCATTCTGCTGACTTCTTCCCGCAACCATAGTGAGTGAGATTTAGAAGACCTGTTACCGCCCGTGCCCTGACCAGTCCTGCCACTGTCCACAGACCCACCGAGCGTGAGGAGAAGGAGCGGATGATTCGCGGGCGTCTGCGCGAGATCATGCTCAGTGTCGACCTGGACCAGGTCACCTCCAAGGAGCTGCGGTCGCGCCTCGAGGAACAGATGGGCTGCAGTCTGAAGGACTTCAAGGGTTTTATCGACGCGGAGATGCTGGTTATTATGGGCCAGATGGACCACGCCAGCTGCATCTTTGAGCACCTCTACCTGGGCTCCGAGTGGAACGCGTCAGACCTGGAAGAGCTCAAACGCAACGGGTAAGTGGTGTGCTTGAAAAGCGGCGGGCTGAATAGACGTAAAAGGTAGGGATTACACTGGGTTGTAAGGGTCATGAACTTGAAAAGGCCTGTCGTTGCTCTATATCCTTTGTTGATTTTCAGCTATTTATGTACTATTACTCCAAGCACGAGAGTCAAGTAAACTATTAGATAATGTAAACACGACCCGTGAGAGGATAGCAGTCCTTTCTGGGCTCGATGTGATCGGACGGGCGAGTGGGCCGTCCACACCGCTCGTCGCCGCCGCTCGTTCCGTGCTGTGCGTGCCGGTCCCGACTCGGTCGTGACGCGCGCCATGCGTGCGCGCGCCGTGGGCCGTGTTGATACAGAGCGGTCGGCCGATTACGTAAGGACCGGCGTTCAATGTGTAGGACGCATGTCGGCTCCCCTGTCTGCGGTGCGGGCGGTGTGCAACGTAGCTGAAAATGAAACCGGCGGAAAATGAAACCACTCGGGGTAGTAGCTGATGTAACAAGAGCCGCTGTCTTGGTTCGTTATCACCGATGGTTCGTAACGGATCTTACAAAGGAAGCCACTGATTTGCCTCGTTTCCTTCAGTTGATGATTACTTAATGCCCAGCAATATATTCAGCGATAAAAGATTACGCTGTATTTTTTTATCATCATTTGTGTGAAACCCTATCATCGAACTGTTACTATCCGGGATCTCGATGTGCGCTGGTGGTGTCACCTCTGACCCTGCTTTTTACGCTTGCCCTCAGGATCGGCCACATCGTAAACGTGACGAGAGAGATCGACAACTTTTTCCCGGGCCGCTTTCAGTACCTGAACGTGCGCGTCTACGACGAGGAGGCCACCGAACTGCTCAAACACTGGGACAAGACGTTCAAGTTCATTGACAAGGCCAAGTGAGTGGATTCGGGTCTGGGGGAAACAGGGAAATCTGTTACAAATGGAGAGAGTGTGTTGTACTTGTTGATCCGTGGTCGCTTTTGTCATGCAAAGTATAGAGTAGCACGCGAGTGTTAAGCCCACGCCAGTGTGGGCTATCAATTCTCGAAATCGGCACGGTGCCACGGCTGTGTCGGAGTGTCGGCTGTCAACATTCCGCTGTCTGTAGGCAGCAGGAACACCGGGGTATCAGCGTTACAGTTTAGCCGCGGCGCAAGTGTTGACACTCCGATCGGGTCACCTTGGCTTGTCGCTAGGGCCGCCCCGTCGCTAGGAATGGGATGGCGCCGGCAGATGCGGCGTATTTGCCGCATTTGCATGTGTCGACGGCCGGCGCAAACACGCCGTAAATCGACGCAACTGCGCTGTTTGCGCCGAGAGGCAGTGCGCAGAAACCGCCTGTGTTAGACCGCGGCGCTTTTGAGGATGCTCGAGGGCTGGGCTGGGGTGGGACCTGCAGGGAGCGCCGAAGCGACAGCTGTGGGCTTGTGCTGGAGTTTGCGGGAGGATTAGCATGGCTGAGTGAGAAGCGGTGTGTTTCAACTGCAGGGGTGTGACGCGGGTGTGTGCGAACAGTATCCGTGTTGGGTATGGAGTAGCTAAGCCGAGCTGGCCTGTACCAATGCTTACCGTTTGTTGATCCTCTAGTAGGAGTGTGGTCGAGGCTTAGCTACTGGTCCGGCAGGGCCGTTGCCCTACCCAAAGAAATGCTCGCGGCAATTCATAAGGAATCGCTGATCCCTTTATTCGCTAACAATTCACTGGTTGAATTTCATACTAATGGAAGATGATAAACTCCCTCCTCATATCGCCAGCACTCTAACCAAGCGTCACTTTTTCACCCCCAGGAGTGAGGGCTCGCGGGTATTGGTCCACTGTCGAATGGGTGTCAGCCGGTCGGCCGCCGTCGTCGTGGCCTACGCCATGAAAGCTTACGGCTGGAGTTACGACAAGGCGCTGAAATATGTCCGAGAGAAGCGCAGCTGCATCAAGCCCAACGCCAGCTTCATCAGACAACTGGAAACATATCAGGTACGTGTCGGTTCAGTGTTGTGCAGACTGCCACGTGATGGTGTCATGAACAGTGCATAGCAGACGCCAGAGCTGTGATTAACCCGCGCCCTGGTGGGGTCTGTTTATAACGCGACCTGGTGGCCGGTGGGGGGGGGGGGCTATTTTTTGCCCCCCCTCGTATCTCCGAAACTACTGGACGGATCCGCAAAATTCAAACGGCGTTCGAAAGGCCTGTCAAATTTGTCGAGAGAAACCAAATTTCATTGACCTCGGGGTCACCGATGACGTCACAGGTCAGGTCAAAGATGAAATGTTTCACCGTTCACGGGTCTTCTAGGGAATGCGCTATAACACCGAGGAAAACGTATTTTGTCGAGAATCAGCGGTAGGGCGTCAGTTGCCTAGTAGATATATTGCTATTAGAGGTCACTGGCAATACCAGGTCAGGTCACAGGTCAGGTCACCAAGGGTCACAGGTCAGGTCACATGAGCCCAACTTTACTAAGGTTGTGTGATACATGTTTTATGGCCAATTTTTTATTTCCAACTCAATGGTGTTGGTTATAAGACTATCAGGTACGGCTTAGGTCACTTTCTGGTGAAGTTCAGGTCAAGGTCAGGTCAAGGTCAGGCCAATAAAGGTCAAATTTCAAAGTTGATAGTTTTGCATAAAATGGATATTGATTCGATGCAGCTCGTCACGAGGAGTCTAATGGTGGTCTTTGTTTTGCGCTACGGGGTCTAGAATTCTTAAAAATGGAGTTTGAAAATTTGACGTCATCAATTTTGAACAGTTTTTTCGCTATAACTTCGCCAAAAAAGAGGTATCAATCTCAAATTTGGTATGTGGATGGAAGGCGGTAAGGACTATCACATATATTCCGGTTTTTGCGAAATTCATAAAACTTTTTGGATTTTTCGATTATTATATCCAAAAAATCTATTTTTTGATTTTTGGGGGTCAAAATCCAAAAATTTCAAAAATCCGAGATAGCAGTTTTGTAGCCCTGTCCATTCTACAGCTTTTATGTCTTTATCATTTTTCTGTATTTGCAAAGCTATAGGCCTGACAGCTCTTCCCGCGAAACCTTTTTTTGGGTCGAAAACGGCAGAACATGACGTCACTCTGACGTCATTTCCGGCCAACCTATCATAGCCTTTGGAAAAATTTTTGGTCACAATGTGTAAAATTGATGTCCGGGAGGGTACTGAAAGTTTGGTGACGATCGGCGCAGCGGTTCTGGAGATATATTGAAAAGTCTGGAGGGGGGGGGGGCAAAAAATAGCCCCCCCCCCCCCACCAGGGCGCGGGTTAACCGGCTGGGTGGATGGGTGTGCGCCCTCCGACCGACGTCTGATTATTTGTTCTGCGGCTGAGGTCAGCCGGCCTGCTGCTCCTCAGTGGCTCGCTCCTTGTTAGAGCGTTAGCCGGGCCGGTCGGCTATGTCGCCGTCATGACTGCTCCATATACACGGTACCGCTGCACCGCCGGCTGTCGCTCCGTTCAGTGTTTGTGCACGGCCTGGTTAGTGACGCCGCGCTGTCTGCCTCGGACGGCTCGAACACGCTCCACGATCCCCCGAACGGGTTTGTTTAGCTGATCGCTGCATACACCCCGACCGGTCGGCGGACACACACGCTCGGGCGCGGAGCCGGACCGCGGCGACTGACCGAGTTGGCCGGCGGTGGACGGGTGAGGACGGACAGACGGGAGTGGGTAGCGGCTGACCGACAGACAGACAGCGTCTCTGCAGATCCGATGACGGCGCTGACAGCTGACGAGCAGTCGGATGGCGCTGATTGACGTTAACGGGCCGGTCACTCCGCTGCGCGCGTGGGCGACATTTTTTGCTGCCGTTGCAGATCAGTCGCGTGTCTCCCCGTAGATGATACGCGTGGGCGTATGATGTTTGATTCAAAAGTGGGTCAAATAACTCGTTTCGGGGCAGATTGCGGGGATTTTATCAGTTTAGCGGACGCAATGCATGCGCACATTTATCTTCAAAGATGAAGATACTCTCGAGCTCAGACTTCCTTGAGCTCTTTTCTTTTTTCTTTTTCTTTTGTTTTCCATAATATTACTGCTTCTAACGTCTATTTTTCTTTGTTCCGCAGGGTATCCTGGACGCCAGCCGACAGCGGCACAACTCATTGTGGCGCTCCAAGTCGGAGACCAACCTGCAGTGCGGCCGACTCCTGTCGCCGGTGCTGCCACCTTGCGACCAGATCGACGACGTCTGTGATGTCAGCACGCCGTGCGGGCCGGAGTCGCCCGCCGAGCCGCCGGCGTCCCGGCCCAAGTCGTGGTCACCGGCCGACAACCTGGCCGACTCCCTGATCGCCCAGATGAACGGTGAGAGCTCGCACTTTGTGTGGGTCTATGGGCGATGGAAATGGCCTCTCACGATCGGTTTGGTTTGTGTTGGACATTTTGCGGGATTTTAAGAAAGACTTTTTGATACTTTAGTGTCTCTGGAAGGTGTTTCAGCTAGCTTACGTGATTCTAGTTCCATTTTATGGTTGCCTCTTGTTGTGAGAAGCTGATGCGATATAAGGTTCGTGGTTTTACGAAGCACCGGTACCATGTACGTGATTACACTACCCACTATCTGACTCTGCTCCTTCTCCGACAGGCTCTGCTCCGGGCTCGTACGGCCGTCCGCAGCGGTCGCGTAGTCGCTCCCAGACGCTGCCCGGAGACGCCCCTCGGGTCCGGCGCTACTCCGTGAGTCAGCACCAGCGCGTGCCCTGTAACGGCCAGGACTACAGCGTGTCACAGAACCAGGCGGTGAACCTGTCCCTGCCGCTGGAGCCGCTGGAGGGCGCGCTGCGGCCCGACCCGCAGCCCGGAGACCTAATGGAGTGCGTCAACCCGCGCCTGGTGCCCGCCGAGACCTGGGTGGGAAATGTGGTGGCGCTGCGCTCGGCGCCGCGCCGACCCGCCGAACCGGCCGCCGGCCTGGTGCGCCGGCACACTGAGGACATTGAGCGCCGCTCGTCGTCCAGTGACGGCGCGCGCGGCTCGTGTGGCTCCGTGGAGCTGGCGCTGCCGTCCCGCCAGAGCTCGTGGAGTTCGCTGGAGGGCGCCCTGCTTCGCGCGAACGGCCTGCAGTCACCCAGCCGCAGCAGCTCGTGGGGGTCGTACGACGCGGCGCACACGGTGGTAGCTGACAATGACGCGGCGGCGGCGGTGGCGGCGGCGGGGCCCGGAGCGGGGCTGGTGGGCACCCCGCGGTCGGCCGGTGCCGGCCCGGTGGCCAGCTCCACGCCCACCGTATGCCTGCCTCCGCCGACCCCCGACGGCTCTGTCAGCTCGCTGCCGTCCGTCTCGCGGATGTCTGTTCAGCTGCGGCAGCCGTCGGCAGTACCGCGCACCGGCTCATTCACGGTCTCACTGGTGAACCTGGCCGGCGCCAGCTCCCCCTGCCGGCCGGCCGCCTCCTCAGTGTCACTCACGGACGAGCTGCCCAGCGACGGTGAGCTGCAAACCACTCCGGGACAGGTGCGGCGACTGGCGCGCCAGCTGGAGGCCAGGGACCCGGCGCCGCCGCCGCCGCCCGGCTCCCCGCCCTCCCCGCCGGCGCCGGTAGCGCGCAGCGCCAGTCTGGACCGGCTGAGCGCGCCCGAGCCCCGGCTGCCGTCCCCCTCATCGCCTAGCCCGACGGATGAGGTGAGCGTCCGCTCGCTGGTCGGTCGGTTCGAGGCACCGGAGGCGGCGGAGGAGCGGGAGGCGCGGCGCGTCTCCGCTCCCCCGGCGCCCAGCAGCGAGCCGCCCGCCTCGCCTGGTTCCGAGCGGCAGACGCCGACCGTGCCGCCGCGCAAGGCCAGCCTGGACCTGTCGCGGCTGGCGTCGCTGACACGCCGGGTGGGCGGCCAAGTGTTTGGCCGCGGCCGGACCGCCAGCCAGCCGGCGCCCGGGCCCGTGGTGCGCACCGCTCAGAAGCCGCCGCCGCCGCCACTGACGCACGCGCACCGCGCCGGCCAGCCGTCCCGCCGGCGGCTGCACGGCAAGACGCACCCGCTTTCCAAGCTGGACGTGCGGACGCGCCACGTCAGCTCTGTGTTCAACACGATGTGAGCGCCGGGCAGTGCCGGGGACGCGCGGGACGGCGGCCCCGGCGCGGCGCGCGCTGCAGCGCCAGTACAACCGGTCCCTCTTAGTCATGTCTTTCTCCTAGCGTGTCCGGCACCGACGGCGGCGTCGGGCCGCCGCTTTTCTTTGGTTGACTTTGTGGCGATTTGTCGTGGTGTCAATCGTGTTCGTGCATTGATGTGTGATTATTATTTCGCCGCGTTTTGCGCGCTGCTGTGCTGCGTGCGGCCTCGTTACGCGCGTGTTTTGAGTCCCAAGAGTTTTAAACGCTGAGTGAGTCGCGCGGTGCTGCGCGATTCTTTATCGAACGACCCGATATCTGCCGACGTCGAGTTGTAGTATACTCAAGGATTTGTGAATAAAGCGTAATCAGTGAATCCATTACCCATTTGTGTCAGTCGCTTGACGCTGCCGACGCCAGACTACAATCATAAAAGTTACACGAATCAATCATAAAAGTTCGCCTGAGCTTCAGGATAATTAGCCGTTAATGCAGTGCACTGACCGCAGGGAGTCGCGATGGAACCGAGCAGATCGAGTCAGTCTGAGGAACAGCTGATTTGCACGATGCCTTGAACAAATTTCAGGCGGACAAATGGAGAGTCTCTACCTTAACTCCCGGCCCAGTACCAGTCCAGTAACCATAGCAGCTCCGCTGGTGTTCGGCTCACGAGCTCAAAGGTGGCTTCTTGGATTACGTACACGAAATATTATTTTGCTTTATCTCTGTTATTCATGTTCATTTTCCGATCGTTTTACTAGGTTGTCGATGCGCAATAAACATTCTGGAATGGAATAGAATGGAAAGAACACCATACTATATACTCTAAAGTATATTGATGACCTATAAATATGTACAAATGCAAAGTGGTCAAATTAGCTTGCAGTTTAACGCAAGCTACGGGCCTTACGACGCACGAACATCAGAGAGAACATCAGAGAGAACTTACTTCACGCTACACTAGTGGAGCATTTTCGATCACATGCCTTAGCGTAGAACACGCCGTTCCTGACAACACCGTGCAAAGTCGAAGTTCGATATACGGATTTCAAAAATAGGTATCTGTCGGTCCTATAGATGCCACAGTTGTCAAAAAGATCGAATTATATTTATACGGGTGTGTGTCAAGTGGCAATACGGTTCCACTTACACATATACATCAAATTCCGACAAGAAACTGACACCAGCGCCCTGTCACAATACTTGGGTCCTGCACGTACCACGCCACGAGTAAAAACATACAAAAGTGCCCAGAGGGGCTCATGGAGGGAGGTCACAGCGTACAGTGAACTGGATATGATGTGTAGAACATGCGGTTAAAACGGCGTACAAACTGCTACCCTACCGATATAAACGAGACGGGATGTCATACAGTAATATAGCTATATCTGGTCCATTCGGGAGCTGCGGCTACGGGTCATGCAATGAGTCCCTGGACCACCACGGTCACACCTCTCTACACCTGGTTAATCTATGAACTTCTCTCAGCGCGCTACATACATCTCAGTGGAGTTAGGACGATCGTTCAGTTCATATCTACATACACCAGGTACACATTACGACATATTTACAGACAATGTCAGCCCCCTGGCCAGCCCCTCCTCTCAGCAATCTATCGTTGACCCATCCAGCCCCAAGCAGCTCATGGTGGAACATCGGGAACACAGGCGCGTGCAGCAGTGCAGCACTGGCTTCATAGGAGTGTCGGGGCCGCGGACACAAGGCGCCATCCCGCTGGCACGTGAGCTCACAGTGATCGGGGCTTCAATCACCGCTCGGTGACACTCTATGGCTGAGGCCGTCCCAGAGACGAGCGACGAGCGTGACGTAAAGTCACGCGTCACATGTACTACACAGGAAAACGTGACGCCTGTTACAATCTCGTCATTTGTGAGCGTCACACAGAGCGGGAAACGTTCCAACTCACTTCTCTTATTCACACAAGTCATGAATCTCAACCATACAAGGGAAGAAGTCACTCGCCAAAGGCACCAGAATACTTCCGAAAGCAGCGACCGGCCTCAGCACTCATCCATCCATCCAGCCTCATTACACCCCTGACGTCATCCAGTCACGTCACACCCCTCCGTCAGAGTCCGTGACGTCACACTACGGCTGTCCATGACGTCACACCTTGGCGCCGACGAGGTTGGAATGCACTCTCAGCAGCTGGAGGCTGCTGTTGATGAACAGGTTGGCCGTGGACGTGTGAGACGGCATGGTGTGAGCCTCCTCGTAGAAGTCGGCATCCTCTTCGTCGTCGTCATCGGCACCGTCACCGTCCAGCTGTGGGCGCAGGAGTCAGAGGTCAGTCCGGAATGTAGTGAGGTCAGATGGTGGGTCAAGGACTAAGGTGAAGTGGCCAGGAGACAGGTGGAGGGGTTGAGGCCAACATTCAAATGTCATACGAGATCCCACAAAGAGCAAATCGAAGAGTCCGTAAACGCTCATCGTCCATTTTTATGGTAAAAGTCAACCGCAAATTACGCATCGAACGAAAGTCGTTGCTGGGCTCGACAGTGCCGTCGTGATATAACTTACCGCGTTGATCTCTGCCTCGGTGAAGATTTTCGGCAGCACAAGCAGCCTCAGCGGAATCAGCATGGCCAGGAAGAAGGGGAAGCCGATGGCGGCCGGCGTGAACTTGATGCCCAGCAGGAATCCCAGGCAGATCAGCTGGATCACGGTGAACAGGTGCATACGCCACGTGCGAACCTGACGGCGGAAAAACGGAAACTCAGTCACAATAGATTTGGTACCAATCTTTTGAAAGTCACAGCATTCGGTACCTATCGTTTCGAATGCGATCCTATAATCTAATGACAAAAACAGACTGTACTTAGTGACTGAAATCAAAACATACAACGTTTAAATGCCTTTGCTTCAATATGCAAAGTTAAAACGCAGGGTAGCCTGGGGCAAGACGCCCCAGATAATTTATTTTGCTACATAACTTTTGTCCTACATCACCTGGAAGGCCAAATTTGTGCTCAATGCGTTCTTGGGACATTTTACTTTAAATTCCACCCCTCAAATTCATTCACTTATGATCGGACTCCCAGATATGAAGTGATTTGTGAAGCAACTGCAAATGGGGCATTTTGCCCCAACCCCAGGGCAAAACGCCCCACGGCCCGGGGCAAGAAGCCCCATACTCTAGATTAAAGATTAAACATGCTAGTTGACCAAATCTTATATGAGAGGTCCGTTAGACCTTGGGAGGCACAGCACTGAAGGTAGCACCTTCCATCATATCAGATGTTCAGCTATGACACTATTGTATGAGCAGGTTTTTCACCTGCCTCATAAGGCCAAATAATAAATTATTGCCATGCAACTGTCAACCAAATACTTCCTTTGCCATCCGGTTCCTGAGAAAACTACACATAAATACATAGAAACTTACTGTTTGCCAGCTACCGAACATTAGGAAGTGGGTAGTACGAACAACACATGAGGCAAAACGCCCCATGGGGCTTTTTGCCCCGCGACCTACTGGGGCGTTTTACCCCATCACGTAGTTTGGTCAGAAAACAGCGCCTTGCACTCCAGCAAGACATAATTTAACACAAACCCACCCGGCATTATAAGCGTTAGGTAACAGTTGTTCAAAATACATAAAAGTCGTTAACCTGATGTGGACCATAAAAGAACGCCATGATGCATAACCTGACAACAAAACATAAAAATCACTCCAAAAACACATTTTTGGCCATATCTCCCTAAGGAGTCATCACAATTTCTTTCCAGTCTGGTCATATAATGATCATATAGTGCACGTTTTATAGAAGAGAGAATATGGCCCCAGATCCTTGCCAGTTCCGAGAAACATCGGTGAGGCGTTTTACCTCGGCGGGGCGACTTGCCCCGGTCTACCCTACATTCTTAATACACCTTGTAGTTAACTATATTGGGCTACAGTTAACCCTTACATATTCGTTAACCTAACTAAACCACATTTCGTTGCCTACCAGCCGCACTACTCACCCGCTTGACGTATCCGGCCTTGTCGTGATGTTTGACCGGCTTCAGGAAGAGCACCACGCGCTCCAGCATCTGCACGCCGGTCATGGAGCTCACTCCCATGTACATGAACACGCCGAACACCACCGCCACGGGGATCTGTTTCAGCACAGAGCTCAGCACCACGGACAGGCCGAGCAGGACGGAGACGATCAGCGCCGACAGCCGCTGCTCGTGCACGCCCACCACTGCCGGCTTCTCTCCGGGAGCGTAGTTGGTGGAGAGCACAGTCAGCGCGGCCGCGTGGCTCACGGAACGGATGGTGGCCGCGCACATCCACGGGGCGCCGATCAGGGAACACATCAGGTTCAGAGCCGACAGCAGCACAATGTCAAAGTGGAAGCCGGTGCCCTTCTGCAGGTTGCGCTCCGGTTTGGCCATGATGAGCTCGCACACCATGGTCTCCATGTAGATGACGATGAAGATGAGGCCGGCGGCCGGCAGAGCGCCCACGATGGCCACCCACGAGGTGCGCTCGTGCAGGCCGAGGGGCGAGATGAACCAGTCGCGCAGAGCCGGGTTGGACGGTGTCAGGCCGGGCGGCACCTGAAGATGCTGAGTGTACACCTGGTGGAGAAGGGGAGAGGTCAGTAAGGTCGGCTGGTTCTCATGCCGAGTGATGATTGCTGTTAATCGGCATTGATATATTCTGCACCAGGCATCGGGAATCCTTATTTCATATAATTACATCCAGCTGAAATTTAAAGTTCATAAAGCTTCAAAAAAAAAAAAATCGCCCAAGTAGAGACAAATTAGCTGTTTCCAGCAAACCATAGGATGTGGTACCATTAAATACGTCATAAGCGTAATAGCCGCCAAAGCAAAATGCCGTGCACCCATGCCACCCTCGGTGCGTGCTCTGACCTGGGGCACCAGCAGGTCGACTCCGACCATCAGCAGGATGGCGATCGGCACTCCGAAGTCGCCCAACATGCGGCGCACGCGGCGGCCCAAGAACTTGCTGTTGCGGAAGTGTCTCAGGTAGTTGGCGATGGCGAACGTGCCGAACATGAGCAGCAGCGAGAGCAGCGCCGTGTTGGGCTGGTAGTGCGGCTCCAGCAGCGGCGCGTCCGTCGGGGCGCTGGTGGCGTTACTGCGCGATCACACGGCAGATAACAGGTTAGTTACACGGAGTGAAAGCTGCAGTGGGGGGAGGGGGGGGGGGGGGCACAGCTTCGTGAACTCGTGAGCGCTCTCCGAGATACACAGACAAGTTTAAAATAAATTACTCAGGAGAGAAATCATAGCCATGAGCCATACCAACGCAAACGTTCAAATGAACCTACATGTATGAATCAAATCTGTCATACTAGAGCGTCAAACAAAGGTTGAGTCCCAACGGGAGAACGCGTACCTACGTAAAACTCGATGATGTATTTTAACTCGATGACTTTGCCTGTAATTGGGAGTTCCCGTTGGCGATGTGTTTAATAAAGAAATAAATAAATAAATAAATAAATAAATAAATAAATAAATAAAACGCTAGCCAGTCGCCAAACAAGCACCTCCCCAAGTTCCCGTCCTCCCGTCCACCCCTCCCCACTCACCCCATGGCGGCGTCGGTGGCGTTCTCTGCCCCGGTGACGGTCGAGTTGTCGGCCATCTCCGTGCCGTTACTGAAATCCAGGCCGAGCTCAGCAGCGATCAGGTGCAGTGAGCCCAGGAACAGCGGCTCGTCGCAGTAGTTGGCCAGCAGAGGGTGAGTGTTGAACACCTGGGGACGAGGGGAGCGGTTTAATTATACAGACACAAAACAAATGCAGTGATTGGAGGGTGCCATATTTGCGCTAACTTCTGTTTCAATAAAGGTAAGTTAGGCGGTCAAAGTAGCTATCAAGTATCAACCGCTTCTGAAACGTTGTGAAGGAGCCTGTCCCGTAGCTCAGTTGATAGAGCATTGGACTCCCGGTAGTGAGAGCCCGGGTTTGAGACGCTCCGGCGCTCGATATTCGAGACTCCTGACGGGGATGGTCTGCGGTTGATGGGAGCAGCCGCAGCCAGTTGATGTCAGTTGAGTGGGACAGGCCGTGTCCGTCTTTGAAGGGCACGTTAAACTTTGGCATCTAAATTCTTCCGATACCCGGAATTGCGCGATCGGTCGGTAGGGGTCGGGGATCTAGGCAACAAGCTCTGCTTAGCTTGGGCTCCGGCTCTGTCAATTCGTTCATTCAAACATTCGAGCTATTCTTTTTTTAAATCACCTTCCTCCATGCGCCTTACAAGTTATTAGCTCCTACAAATTAACTCAGCCAGAGTCAAAGCCTTGCGGCACAGTCTAAATCCAGGCGTTGACAATAGCGACATCCATCGAAAGAAACCTAAGCCACCTGATGCTCGCGGCACGATTCGAAGAGCACACATGCAGCTGGTCCAGCCTCTATAACTTACCGTGGCCAGTTTGGAGAGTGACTCGAAGATGAAGAGGATGGAGACGAGCGACGAGAAGATCTCGGTGGTGAAGCGGGTGAACTTGCGTACCAGCACGGAGCCCTCGAGCGCCACCACGATCAGACTGATGAGCAGCATCCAGATGGCGATCCAGACGCGCATCGGCAGGAACTCCAGGCCGTTCGAGTTGGCGAACTGAGGACCACAGACGGGCGGAACAGGGCGTCAGTTATTGAGACCTACTGAATTCGGACTAACAATACAAGCAAAATTGTGTTTACTCAATTCAGTCCGGCATCGTAAGGTATCACTGTAAGTCTGTAAATGTTACCAAATGCCGTTAATTAAAAAGCACACCGTTCATAAGATTGGGTCCAGGTCCCTGCTGATATCCTGCGATGTCACCTCTTACCTGATAGAGGGCCTCATCGAAGAGCAGCACGGGTCCGGTCGTTCCGACAATGATGAGCGGCTGGCACGAGAACAGGGCAAAGACCACACCCGAGATGGCCGTCGATATGATCGTCTCCGAAATACCAATCTCCAGCTTAGTCTTGTCCACTGCGGATGGGCGGGGTACGGGGTCAGATCGGCACAAGACTGAGGTTATGAGTTCAACACTGCAGGTGAGTACAGAAACTGGGCCTGCGCTTCTGGATGATATAATGTCACTGTGAATAGGCAGCGCTACACCTTGTCAAGCCTGCAGTATTGTAACGAGCGTGATCGTTTGGTAGTTGCTGACCCGAGTTAGAGGAACCCTTGGCGAATGCTCAGCCTCAGTTTAACTTGCAGTTCATCAAATGAGGTGCGTTAAACGACACACACATTGTCTCTCGCTCTCCCCTTCCGTCCTCCTTTCCTCTCCATTCGTACTCACTCATGAGTCCTCCGAATGTGATGGCGCCGGCGAGCGCGGCGAAGAAGATGAAGAAGGCAGACGAGAGCACAGCTCCGTTCACACCGTCCTTGAAGTCGGAAAGGTACCACGGGTACCTGGAGGCGAGCGGTACGGTACAGTCAGCTGGCGGCACGGTGCAGTCAGCTGGCGCCGTAACACTGACCCAGTCGGGTATTTCAGCGCGGTGTGGTCGCTGACTCTGACCTAGTCCCAGGCAGACAGCTGAGGTGACTTAACAGCCTGGGGATGTTTTACTTGGCAGCCGCCGAGACGGGAAAGGTGCCGTAACAGTGGGAGCGCGTCCACTGTTACGTCGTAACAAACAGAGCCACGCTGGCACCTAATAAACAAGCGCTGACATCATACAAACAACACAAGGCTTATTAACGACCGACAACCAGCCGAACAGGTGTCTTGACACCTTGAGTTATTGAGGCAGTGTTATCGGTAATCGTTCCGGGCTTTCGCACTCGGATAACACGTTATAGTAGACATGACCCTACTCGCCCTGCCATGACTGACCTGCGCTTCACGTCTCTGATGAAGCCGGCGAACGGGCGGCCCTGTCTGATGAGCGGGTCGTCCGGCGGCATTATGGGGTCGCCCTGGTCGGCGTTCTGCAGGTTGGCGCTGCCGCGGCGGGGCAGGCCGCCGGCCGCCGCCGCGCCCGGCAGCTCAGACATGCGCTCCTCCAGGTCCATTTTGGCGCGCTTTCGGTCCTGGATGTCGCGGGAGCGCTGCTGCAGCTCCCTGACATCCAACACGTCCGGGTTGGCCGTCCAGTCGATAGGTGGCAGCACCAGCGTGTCGTCCAGGAACTCCTTGAAGGCCCACATCAGGTCCGAGCGGCTCTCGGCCTTGTAGGCCGCCTCGTGGAACGACTGTGGGAGGGAGAGGTGACGGTCAGATGATGGGAACTAAACGACTGAGAGGTCAGTGGGGTACTCATAGCACGCAGTTGTCGCTTAGATTCAATCGGATTGAAACATTCTAAAATATGCCTATATCGAATTTAGTCAACACAAAGCTGCACAGCAATGGAACCCCCAGAGTCTGCACACGTAATACGCTATAGCGTATCATGGACACCACCCCCGAAAACCTTCGCTTTTAAGCTTGCCAGACGCCCACGTACATACGCACCAGCCCCGTGCCCGCCCTCCACTTTCCACCCAAACACCGCAGCGAGCACGTCATAGCCATCACACGCCTCCACAGCAGTGAGCTGAGCACGTGACGCCGAGTTCACAGGGTTCATACTCCCCGCGTCACTGGGTGGGTGCGGATCAGAGTTTGACCCGGTGCCTTGGCAGATCGACACGTAGCTCCCACAATCACAGCTTGCTGCGTCACAGGACAGATCGGCTGCTGACGGGGGTCGCTAGCTCACTCGGAGCGTGCGTTTCTCAGGTAACTGTGATATGGAATATGTAGGTCTGGAGATGATGGTAAGGCGACGTACAATCATCCAGTGCTGTTGCCAGGGATTCGCGTCGTGATTCAACTTTCAAGACGGTCTCCCCGACTCGCACTATCATCATGAGGCGGCGGCGCCAAGCCGTCTGTCGGGACCCCACCGAATAGAGACCGTCGGTCTCCGTACGTACCGGGCTGGACATGAGCGTGGCGAAGGCGCGTCCTGTCTCGTGCAGGTCTTCCTCAGAGTCGTTCGGACCCACCAGGAAGAAGATGAAACGCACAGGCAGCGGCATCTATAGAGCACAGGCGCACCAGTTAGATGTGGTAACAAGTAGCTCGGAAGGATCCCCGAGAGGGCAAATTTTCAGCTAAGAACGATGCATGGTAAAACATTGAAGCCACAGATCTCCCAAACCTAACTGACAACACTGCCTTCCCGGTGCTCACCTCCGTGATTCCCGGCAGGAACGTTCCCTCGGCGAGCCGGACAAACGCAGCCACCGGTTTGGTGGCCCAGTCGACGCGTCCGACGTTCACGCTGAACACCTCTGTGCCGGGCGCCATGCGGCGCAGGATCGACTGATGCGCCAGGAACCGGTGCAGCTCCTGCTCGGCCGTCATACTCTCACCGCCCACCTGTCGGACACAAACGGAACTTCAGCTTCACCGAACGGACACGGCTAAAGGAAGGGGAAAATTCCATAATGATGAAATGAACTTTGAGACGATAAAGATCGGCAGTAAAAGAGCGAAACCCTAGCAGTCTGACGAATTCACTCGCATCGCGCTTAGTACGATCTCCAGTCTCTGGATCGTATAACAATCATGTAAAAATTTGATCGTATTTAAGCAAGGTATTTACAGGGTCTCTGGTAGTGGTACAGACATGGAAAATCCCTGTCCCTGAGGTAAGAATTATCAAATTTAAGGCACAATTCCTAACAAGATCACGCCATAGACGTAGCACTAACCGAGTTCTGCCGGGACAGGTTTCCGGCCATGCCCGCCATGGACGGCTGACTGTTGTCCTTCTTCTCCATCTCGGAGAGCGAGCGGTGAGAGCTGTTGCGCATGTCGGCCAGACTCTGAAACGAGTGACGTACGAGATGTCATGACACGTCCCCTGAATCATGAAACATGATCTACTGGCACCCAGCCATAGGCCAGAACAATGGCACGTCCTTCTCAATGAGACGCGGTATATAATACCGTGCCGTGATTTCTCGATTTGGTCGCTCAGTCACGTCCCAAGTTTTATATCAGAGGAATGCTACAGACACAAAACAGTTCCCGAACAGCAAATTGGTATGACCGCACTGTTATTAATTAGTTGAAACAAATTACGCATAGGATACCACGAAAAATGTTGTTTTTTCAATGAATGAAATGCCTCATAAATGTGTAAAAGATGTCCGCTGTCATCAAATTAAGCAGCTCCTGGAAACCAGTGCACTAATCTAGCGCCCCAAGCTCTCTCACCTGCATGGTGAGTTTGGAGAGGTTGCGCGACTGGAAGTGGTTGCGCAGGCCGAGGCCGCCCTGGTGGTCGCCCACGTGCTGCCGGCGCAGCAGCAGAGTGCGCATCACGGAGCCAAAGTCCTGCTGCTGGATCTGGTCCTCTGTGACCAGCTGGGTGGCGATCCGGTGGCTGATGGCCACAGAGTCGTGCTCCTCCACGTCCAGCAGCAGAGCGCCTGTCAAAAGGGGGATGGGAGGTCAGCAGAGGTCAGGATAGAGCTTAGAAGAGGTCAGCAACGTATATAAAGGGTAGCTTGAGGAACGAAAGGTCACGAAGTGACGTTCATCTACATTTAAAAACAAATATTTCACGCACAGGCAGATCCACGCAAATCAAGCCCTCTTCTCGATCACACAAACCTATTGCATTGATAGCATCGGGATAGAGGTTCATCTCTGTTGATTAAAAACTAAGCTCCTTCAGGTAACACCATTTCATCGGCACTTCGGCCGGTCGCCGACCGCCTCACCTCTCTCCAGGCAGCGTCGGAGGTTCATCAGGCTGAGGAAGGATAGCGCAGCCAGGTGGGGGCGGCCCCAGCGGTTGCCGCCCTGCTCCACGTCCTCCTCGTATTTGATCCAGCGTGCCGTCTCCTGCCACTCGAGGTCCTTCTCGGTGGCCATCAGCTCGTCCATCTCGACAAACATCTGTCCGTGGAAGAGAGGGAGGGGTGTCAGTGGTACACAGCGAGCAGGAGAGAGGAGAGAGAGAGAGAGAGGGAGAGAGAGAGAGAGGGAGGGAGAGAGAGAGAGAGAGGGGAAGGAAAGACTGGGAGAAAGAGAAGAGGAGAGAGGGGGTGATAGAGATGGAGAAACGGCAGAGCACGCAGTAGCCTCCGAGAAACAGACAGAAAGACAGAACACATGTCAGACTGATGTTTGTGCCCAGCTCCGACTTTTGTCTCGCCCCGCTTCACTTACGTCATGAGGCGTGTGGTCGTAGGTCTTTTTGCCGAGCAGCATCGTCTGTCCGGTGTTGACGTCGCCCAGGTGGACCACGTTCGAGATGGTCTTGTCGTCTTTCTTGCGAGTCACCTTGTGGCGCCGGTGGCCGCCCTTGCTCTCGTACCGGTGACCTGCCCAGGTCACAGGGAGGTCATATGAAGGTCACAGGGAGGTCACACAGGGGTCACGGGTGGTGGTTAGGGGAAAGGGGCCTGAATGGTCCGATGATGGGCTGAAAGAGGTGGGTATTGGCTCAGAACATGCTATATTGAACTTTGTAATAGGATATGGATTAATAATGTCCCGCGATCAGTTTCAAAGTATCGACGAGGTTGAAAGGCCTGTTGCGACTACGATTCTCATCGGACCCGATCGCATCAAAACTTAGTAAACGTGAAAGGGTCTTACTTCAATAATAAAATAGGAACTTTGAAATGCGACAATTTAAATACATTTTCTACATTATTTCTCAGACTTCCCAGCATCAGAACACTGAGCCCTGAGTAAGCCCAACCACACTCCCACGTCTACACGTCACCCCCTTCCCTCCTTATGCCCCGTTTCCGTACTGTTGATGTCGTCGATGCGCAGCTGTCCGTTGTCGGGTTTTCCGCCGGCGGCGCCGCCGGCCGGCTGCTCGCTGACGTGCTGACGGTGGTGATGGTGGTGGTGGTGATGACGCCGGTGACGCTGGCCCTCCGGGTCGCGCATCCCCTGCGCCGAGCCCGGCCGGGAGTCCTCCTCAACGTCCTCGTCCGGGCCTGTCAAAGAGAGGGGGATAGGTCATAGGAACGGCATGGAAAATCGTCACGCTAAACAACATCAAAACGGCGCTGATAAACGATATGATGATCTTCATCGGAACGGCACGGGTCATCGTAATATCGCGGTCCTCCTTACAACAGCGCGCGTTATTGCAACAATACAATACAGAACCATGGTGGTTCTGTAACAGAAACGCAATGGTCACTGTCACACATCGGTATCGGTGGATCCACGTACCGTTATTTCACGTAGCGGATATTAATAACACCAGACGCTGCGTACGCCACTTTCAAGCCAAGCCCCAGACATCACGTGTACGTGCCTATGAAACTATAATTTCCCATTAGATGACGTGCAGTTCCACCGAAAACCGTTAGGCGCTTATACAGTATAAATATGGCACGCATTACTTCACGGACACCTCATACATTATGCACCTGTTTGAGTGAGCCATTCAGCATCCAGCCTCATTGAATGAGCTCGGGACATTGACTGATGAATATCGGTCAGTGGACAGTGGACAGGTACTCACCGACTTCAAACTTGACCCTGTTGGTGACATCTGTTTCATCTGAGTCGGGCACGTAGGCGGCTCTCTGATCCACCACCGGAGCGTCAGCGAGGCCGGTCGACTTGGGCGCCGCCGGCTCGGCAGACCTGAGGATGGAAGGGCAGCAAAGGCCAGCAAAGGAAAGTCAGCAGAGGTCAGTATGAAGGGGCAGGGCGCATGGTCATGGAAAACCCTCATAATCACGCAGATTGGCAGCCGGCTGTCGATAATATCGAATGCATGCCGAAATGACGATACCCACTATCGTATTCATACGATATTCCAAATCGATACCTCACAAATGCGGACCAAATTGACCACCTTTCGGCATTTACGACCTTCATTGACCCTAAGCCTGCACTATCCCCAGGATTAACTCCAGATCCCCATCCGCCCACAGTCCGTCCAAACACCCCACCCGGCGACTCTCCCTCCCTCCCCACTCTCCCGGTCGCGTCGTCACTCACGGCGCCTCGTCGGTGACGGGCGGCGTGCTCGGCTCGTCGGTGGACGGGGTCGCCGGCGGCGGCTCGGTGGGCGCCTCGGCGCCGACCGACTCCGCCTGCTGCTCCTCCGGAATGGAGATGGCCGTATCACCGGCGGCGCCCTGTAGATTTGGAGGTGAGAGGGGGTGTTGTGAGACCACAGGTGATTCAGCTGACCAGGTCAGGTCGAGGATAATGCATCATACGATCAGTGAATGAAAGGCATCGCAATTATGTGCTGGTGCAAACATGGACTCTGTCTCTAATCAAAGCTAATTAATAATCATTTCATTCCTTGATTAACAATGAACGGTCGTCTACGGACAAGTTTAGTAGCACGGGCACCACAAGAACAAACATCGTGACCGATCACGCCTCATATGACCATTCTACGTCATTGCACCTCCCAACTACGCATCAGACCCCGGCCGGGCCGGGCCCGGGGTACCCCGCTCCTGTTAGTGGCCTCTGGATCTAGGACACCCTAGTCCATTCTCCGGCCATGGGTAGCTGCACGGGACGGCCGGGCCAGCCGTCCGATCCAGAGGAAATCGATCGGGAGCTAACAAAGGAGGCGGACCTCATCAGAGGAGAGACAGAGACGCGGAGACCACAACAGCCGCCGTCAGTGGAAAAGAACAGGGCGCCGAGGTAATCACTGATATTATCTGGGGCACTACAGCCAGACGGACAGTTGATGACTTACATCCTTGGCGTCGGCGGCACTGCCGTGACTCTTCTTCTTCTTCTTGCCATGTTTCAGGACGTCGTGAGGTCGAGCGAACTGGTTCTCCTTGAAGTGGCCTGAAACAGCGGACGGATTGGACTTGGTTACCACTTGTTCCATGTGTTCGCGTGGTTCGTTACGGGTGCCAGTTGTACAACACAGGGACAATCGATGACTTCCCGTCGAGTGCGGTAGTAAGACGCACCGCCAGGGGGTTCAGCCAATGGATCGCTCCCAGGACATGGGCGGCTGATGGGGCGCAAACGGTGCGACCTCCGCGGCCTCCAATAACACTAAACGTCAGTCTGGGTCAACTGTCGGTAACTGAGTCTGAACGGCGCTGCAAAGAATCACGCTGGGAGGAACACCGTCCCAAATGGCACTGGCCCTTACTGGAGGCGCACAGAGGGCAGCGCCCCTTGAGAGGTCAGCTTGAGAGGGGGTAGCCGGGTACAGAGACGGATCGGGAGATCCTATCGAGACGACATGACGTGCCATATTGCAGCCTTAGCTGCAGCTGCATGAGCTGCAACTTTATGACCTTCAAATCCGTCGGTGGACATATGCCACTGCGGCACCCACTCGCATGGCCTTGATCTTGGTGGAGTGGTGGGTGGACACTGCCTGGTAACAGCCCATTGGTATTCGGTGACCATCGCCGTGTCGCGTGGCAAAGGATAAAAAAGGGCCCCTGCTAATGTACTTTGAAGTTACAGGCTGCATAGCTAAAACGGATATTCAACTATATCAGCAATTTGTGGCTCAGAGTAGCATACCGAAACTTCTCTCCGATAATACGTGACAAATAGATGCGTGTATTAATCCAGCATTAGCGACATGAAACGCTCAGGTGTTTTATGGCACAACATATCGTAAATAGCATCTAGCACGAGACCAAGGCAAGTGTCAGGCTTTCTGTCCATTACAGATATGTATGTAGACGTAAATTTATGCCGACGAAATGATGTCCTTATTCCTATTCCAAACGCATCGCTTTTCTCGGATTTCATCGCACCAACTCTGTCGCTAACCGGACACATTTGTAACCTCACGCGTCACCGAGGAAAAGACGCTGGCTGACAAAATAATCTCCTATTCTTGTGATCAAATTAGGCATGATACATTGGATCGAAACATTTCTGAGGCCAGACCCGTCAGACACAAAGAGACTTCATCTGGTTTGTAATGCGGCCAACGCACCATCTCAGCAGACCACCCCATCAGAGCCAACTGCAGAGCGCCAAACGGCTCGAAACGGTCACATTACTGCTCTGTTCCAACTAGATAAAAATTTCGTGAATGAGCTCTGGCCCTAACAAATCTAAAAGTTGTGCAATGCTTGGTATCGAAATAAGGAACCAGCTGAGGGGGCGATTACGAACTTTTGCGAGCCGGATGTCACACGTATTCCAGTTGACATCTCCTAAAGGCTAAAGCGCACCAAGATCTGGTGGAAAGATTCATCTTCATGGCGATGGAGTAACTTGTCATCTAACTTTTGGACATTTGGATCCCGTTCAGAACTTCGCCTTCCTCTAAGCCCCTCTCTATTCATTACCCCGCTGCGTGACCGGCATGATCCCACGCGCCTACTCTCGAAGCGGTTAGTCCGTTGAACCGAGCGGTCTGTCTCCCGGGGCGAGGTGAGGTCGAACGACCACTGCCGGCCGATCGGCCACTGCCGGCGGAGCGGCCACTGCCGGCGGAGCGGCCACTGCCTGCCGGCCGGCGGCACAGCGGAGGAGATGAGAGAGTGAGAGCGGGCCTACTGCGCCGCAGTCAGCTCGTTACATCGGAGGCCGCCAACCAATCCCGGAGTGAGAGAGCTGTGACTGAAGCCCGCGGCCGTTGGTCAGCGAGGGTTAACCCGTCCGCCACTGCACCGGTCAGCAGTCATTGGTCACTGACCCAGCGGTCATCGGTCAGCGATCAACAGTGGCCGACCCAGTGGTTATACGACACTGGCAGCAGCCCAGCAGCGGAAAATAGAAATATTTGACAGAAGTGATTGCTATATTTACATAAACATGAGGGTAAACGGCCACTTGTCACGTAAAGCAAGTTATCAGCTCAATAAGAAATTGACCACTTATGCAGAGACATACAAAGTGCATGCCATTGCCTTGTAGAACCGATCGTGTTTATAGTTAGCCCATAATGAAAGGCTGCTCTTGGAAACGACGAAAATAAAACGACCGAGCGTGCCCGATGAAATCAACTCATAAGAGACGTCCGAAGACGTCAGTATTCCATTACATTGATCAGCGGCGAACCTGCAGTCATTTTTCTCCCTGTCTGTCCCCCCCCCCACGAAGCCACTGTCTGTGCACGTCACCCTGCCTCCCCAGCGGTGTCCCCCTGGACCTTATCTCGCCGGCGGGGCGTAGGCGCACGACATCCTGTCACGAGAGGGCGCCGAGCACGCCGTTCCGCCGTGCCTTTCATGAACCACTCACGAGCCGGCTGCCGATGAACAAGATGCATCCAAATGACCGACCCTGGGCCATTATCGTGGATTCAGCACTGTGTTGTTTACCGTCGGTGGAGGTAACCAGTAATCAGAGCATATGAAACCGTCCCCGCTGACACAACTGGTAATTGTACTGGCCGGCCGTTTATAGAGAAATAAAATGTCGATTTTGTCGTTTGGATAGGCTAGTGCGCCCTTCGTTGCAGGACAAACAAGAGGTTGATATCATGCTAGGTCATTTGTCTTCCGAAGGAATTCGACGACACCCATTGCCTCAACGTTTAAATCTAGACTGTCAGTGCTGTTCGTGATATAACGTGGGTGGCATCCAGTATATCTGCTACGGCGCAAAAGCTAAAACATGAACAATAAACATGTCTAGATGACGAAAAACGAATGCCCGAATTCCAGAAACCCGAAATGTGATTATCTACAGGTATGCTATAATTTACTAAGGCAGGCGTCAACAGGGTAGGGGCAAAGGAGGGATCACAAGTTTATCATTACAGATGACAATAAATTTGAGGTCAGAAAACGTACTCACTTTATGGAAACTAGCCTGCTTTCCAGAGTTTCACATCCAATGAAGAAGGTGGTTTACCTTTGGCGAACTGCTATCGTTCGATTACGCCTCATGTTTTGTTTGCAGTATCTCCAAGTGGAAACAGACCACTCACGCTGGATTTACGAACCGGAACTCGGTGCGGGCCAAGCCCAGCGAAGGACGACCACATCCGCCCTCGGCCCTACTCCAAATCAACAAGGTCACCGTCTAATGGGGGAGGGCAGTACGGCACCGAGCCATCCATCGGCCATCAATTTAGGCCGCACGCACGCACAGTGCACTTTGGGAGGGTCAAGGCTCACAGGGATCAGATAAAACAATGGGAATACGACAAGAAGACCTCAGATTAAAACGGAAACATTTATACTTCAAAAGCATACACACGCTTGACACTACAGACAGTACAGATGTCTTGTATGCAGTATGCATTGTGAAATGTGCATACTGTCATCTGCATATGAAACTGCTTTAAAAGTCGTGAAATAATAATCCAATGGCTTGCACAACTGAACGGATAAGACACGCACGCCGGCTCAACTTCCACGCTCTGATAATAAGCTGTCAATTTATAGGCTTGAGTTCGATCGGCCGTTACCAAAGTAAAGGCAATCAAACTGTCAGAAGTGGTAAATACAGGTTTCAGGGTTGGTTACACGTTCTGTTTTGGCCAAGTTGGGTGCAAAGATATGCAAAACGGATTTTCAGTAATATTCGGTCTGGTCGATATATCGGTCTCGAGCCACACAGCGCGTTATGGTTCTGGACTGGCCAGGGTTGGACGGTTGAATATGGTGTTGTCTTTAGTCGGGTCCATGCCTTTATCCTGACGATTACAGGACGCCTATACCTGTAGGAATCTCCACAGAGCGATTCTCCCTTCCCGCGCCTCTCACCTTGGAAGTCGTCCTCGGAGTAGCGTTTGGGCAGCTTGGGCTCGGGCTCGTCAGCCTTCACCAGCGTCTTGAACACCTCGCGCTCCGTGTCGCCGAACACTTTGTCCATCTCCTCGAGGGCGTCGTTGGAGGCGGCATAGCGGCTGTACGGCTGCGGGACACACAGGGGGAGGGTGTGACGTCAGACGGACTCGCGGTGAGGTCACCACGGGGTGGTGCGACCACCGACCGCAGCGGTATGGGGCGGAGGTGGAACAGGGTGCAGCGAGACACAGGAAGGATGTGGGTTAGAGATAGAATGACGTGAACATACGAACGTCATGTGTTATGCAGGTTTAGGCATGCGACAAGGAACAAAGGGACGACACACGTAAACTGGATCACGGTATCCATGGCGTGAGACAAAGCATGTGAAACGGAAACGGAATGCGATCAGGGTCGAGGCATGAGAAACGAAACAGATACCGGCATTAACAATAAACAGCGAAACAAGTCCGATCCAGTACGATCTGACATCCACTGCGAAACGGGCGATCCTTGAAGAACGTACAGGACAACTGATTGTTATGCCAGCCTTGAAGTCGAATATTGCACTAATCACTGATGATTGCACTAATCGCACTGATCACTGGTCATGCGTCATGTCCCACGCCCATCAATCAAGTTTGTTTGCCCGCAATCAATCAGTACAGTTCATACACACGATTAAAAATCAGAACATCGCATTAAAGGGACCCTCCCACCTTCAAAAAAGTTTATGAATTGGCATGAAAGTGATGTCGCTCGGTTCAGAAAGAGCGAAAACGAATATCTACCAAATTTCACCGAAAAATATTCACCGGTTTTCAAGATATTTGACTTTTACTTTTGTTTACTTTTTTTGGGATCTCCGCTGTTTCTAGCGACTTTATTTTAGAAGTGCGGCGTTTGCGGCAGATGTTGCGCGCAAATAGCATATACCACCGCGTGCTACAAAACGTTTTAGTCAAACATTTAAAAATCGTTAGATATTTGCGCTGACGTCACACATTCAGAGGGGTATTCCTAAGCATTAGCCCCTCTGAATCAAAATGCTGCAATTTTGAAATTCAATATTTCCGATTTAAGGCATTTCTCGATGTTGTGAGTGCCGAAACCGGTAATTGTGAGCCAGGGACCCCATTTTGGCTATCTCAACTCAAATCTAATGTTAAGGTGGGAGGGTCCCTTTAATATACTGCGCTGAAGTCGGTAACGTTATTATTGAAGCCTTTTGACGTCATGCAACAACTTAAGTCACCATTTCTCAATACCTAAATAGTTCTTTGTTTCAATCTGTCATAGCAAACCCTTCTACGAAGACCACGGTGGCCCTAGCAGCTAGCTGAACGGCTCTCGCGAGATTAAGCGGTAGGTTTTGCACTTTAACATTTTCGGTTATATCTCAGAAACTAATCGATCTACGATGAAGCCATTTACACGATCATGGCCGGCTTGCTACCCAACAAGTCGATCGCATCTTCAACACTTAAAAGCTTAAGACGACGAAGATATAGCGTGAAGTACACTAAATTTTATAGGTGCAAAACCTACCGCTAAAACCCGCGAGACCTGTACCTTTCCTTTCACTGGACGAATGACCGATGTGCATGAATGTCACCGTCCTTCCTCCCGGCTATATCTCTGTCCTTCCTCTCGGCTACATCTCTATCCTCCCTCCCGGCTATGTCCTCGGCCACGCACCTGCACGGGGACCCTAAATGAACGTGATCGTATCTCTCCCTCTCCCCTGCGTGCACCGTACCCAATTAGAATAATCCCGGTATAAGATCAGCAGTTCCCGTTCCGAGAAGGGGTCTCAGCGCTGGTCCGACCCCTCATCCATCTACTGCTGGGATGCCGGTGCACCCTGCGCCGCTGCAGCCTCCACGCCGCTCTCAGCTCTCTCCCCGTGCTGCCCACCCCATCCATTCCTCCGGCCGTCCGTTCACTGGGGACTGGCCGTGACACGGAACTGGTCCCGGTTGACCTTGGATGGGTCACGGCGCGGCGACTACGTCACCATGGAGCGTCGAGCAAGCTCGGCCCAGTGCAGGCACTTCAGTTGGGGGAGGTTTGGTCAATGGTTGTCATTTTTAGCACATGCCATTTTTGGCAACCATGTGCTAAAAATGACAACGCTATCAGCTATTTTTAGCAACGATGAAGCCGATTTCACTCCTCAGCGAGGAAATCACGATTTTGGAAATACAAGCACTGATTTTGGAAAAGAAGTGCTGCCACCTGGTGCAAGAAGAAGAAACCAGCTTTAATATGGCCGTTGTTTGTATTAGTGGTTAGTGTGCTGGCGCGAGGTCGGACCAGAAAATCACCTTCTGGTTACATATGTTGTTCTGCATGAACCTCCAGTGCTTAATAATACACTTGGCTAAAAAAGTATCATATTGTAAAGGACCAGTCTGGAGGAATAAAGTCGAACTGATGATATTCTCTGAAATAACACATACACCACGGCATCCAGCGTTAGCTTGCATGCTGACACTGAAATGGACATTAGCCCTTGTATCATCGATCACATCACAACAGAACACTCCATTGTCTAGCTAATTGTCGCCCTTTAACTAAAAACATGATTTTTCTACCTTAAATAGTTTAACTTTTTTCTGCATTTTTGTCCCTTTTTTGACTATAGCATATTTACTTCTCTGGGCCTTATGTTGTTCCCAGTCGCATCGAGAAATCATTTGCGCCGGTTGTAACTCAGCCTAGTCTCAGGTGTGATATATCTTCTTCGCTTAGGCACAATTAATACCTTACTGATCAGCAGCATTGCGCCGTGAGGTGTCAAAAAGCCCCCCCCCCCCCCCCCACGTGCACTTTCGGGGCCCCGACCCTTCCTCAGGTCAATATCTTCACAATTACACCACTTCAGCTTTTCGGACTCCCACACCCTCTAGAACGTTCGTCCCACTGTACGGTATGTAACTAATTTTGACATTTTAAGTTTTCATTAGGTATTTGTACGTGCCAAACTCTCCCATTGACGTGCTATTTTCGGAAAGCCTGCCAATGGGCTTTTGGTAGTCCTTGTTTAAAACGACCTCCAACGCCACTGTTTTCATTACATCCGTGAAATTTTATGCTCGGTATGATAAAAACGTCCCTTTTATCTCTATGCTAAGTTGCATCGTAATAGCTTGCTTCACTTTTGATATGCAGCCATTCAAAGTTTGTGTCAATTTTTAGTGAACACCCTATAGGTGATAAGCGGCAAGAATCATAACGCTAAATAGTTTTTTTTTAGAGCACCGTACCAGAACAGCAGCGCAGCGCCGAACTTTGTGCAGCCGCTTTGCTATCGGTTGGCTAGAGGCTCGGAAAAAGTGCAATAAAGGTCATCAACATCTTACAACAGAGGGTCAAACTCCGGCGTCACGCAAGACACGCAAGGCGCTCAGAAGGCGCGCACGCAGCCGAACGCCCCGCGACAGAGACCGACCAGTGGGTGTTCGGCCGAAACGTGTAGTGTGTGTGTCCCTCGACAGCTGATGGCGACTAAATAAACGTCAGAGAGTACTTAACATTGTTGTGAACAATGTTATCATCGAGTCCTTGAGCCGCGCTGGTCTTCTGGTAATACGAGAATCGTTCGATGTTTTACACAGGTGAGCCATAAGTCAGCATGTAAATAATGACGAGCAAAACGTATAGCTCTAGCATGATTCGAACATAAATGAGGATCGCACTGACTAACCAATCAAACAGCCTGACATCAATGAAATGTTTACGGTGACCATCACAGGCATAAACAAAACCAAGCCGTTTGGGTTTCGAAACTCCCCCGTCGTCGCGCACATGTCGCCTGTATTGCCGTCATGGCCTGGCGCCGGTCCCAGCTGCGAGTTGCCGGCTCCAGCTGGTTACTGGTTAGGCAGCCGTCAGCTGGCCGGTGTCACGGCCGCGGCCCGCGGGGAAGGAATGTGACCCGTCAGCGCGTCTGAACGGCGCGGAGATCCCGGCCTACAGAGCCACCCCCGCCCCGGTGCCGAGCTAGCCCGTCACGTGTGCTCCGGTGCCAGGTGGGCCAACGTGATGGACACATGATGGACTGCAGTGTTGGCACAGTGTCAGATTGGCCTTTGTCGACCAAAATGAAGACGTTAAAACAAGCGCTGAAGCTGTTGACTGAACCATGACTCGATGAAGCTAGCAAGCAGCTAAGCAGATGGAGCTACAAATGAATCCACCCATGCATCTTGACATACGGATTCTCGATATAGACCGGCTATTTTATGGATAGCCATGTCTGAGAACAGCCATGAAGTAGCAACCGGTTGGAAATGAGGTGCAGCTCCGGTACCACGAGATACCGAGAGATGTCTCAGCTGAATCATTCAAGATCCTGTCAGCAACGTCACGAGGATACCCGATAGGACCTGCCTCAGATGGATGGCCATTGCCTGTTGTAGATTTTAGATCTGTGTAAAATAAATCGAGCCTGGTTCTAAATCTCGACCTCATTAATTGAATACACGGGTTTATTTGGTACGACGGGCTGCTTGAGAATATATAAAACGATGTCATGTAAGTACCTACTTTTTCGATTCATGTTATCACCAATGGTGACCAGATATCTATGCACAGGAAATTTGGACAGTGTCTTAGTTTGACACATTAACAGTCATTTGAGCCGAGATGATGTAAACAGATAGGTACGCTGCTACTGGATGTCTGGTCATATTAATAAATATAGCCATATCGTCACGCAGGCCATCAAAAGTTAGCCATATTCACAAGAATAATGAACTCACGAATGACAACATAATTACGACACCATTGTTTTTCCGTCGTCGATTCCACCAACAAAGGTCGATGAAACATGGCTGCTGTCACCCATTGTCCCCCCCCCCCTCCGGTTGGCAACGGCCTTCCCCCCCCCCCCAACGGTTGGCCTTCACATCAGTCCGGGACACAACAACGCCGGGACTGATGGTCGAGCCGACTTTTATGACCGCGCCGCACCGCAGTTTTTCCTTGACGAGACTCATTTTTTGCGCGATTAGCTCATGCCATGGCATGCATCGGTAAATATTATGCATTGTCGTGATGCTGACGGTGCATCAGCGTTTGCATTGGCAATGCATGGTGATCCATGAACGTGATTGCCAGAGA